GTTAGCTAACAGTTAAAGTTAGCATTTGTTAATAGTAGGGGCTAGGTTGCACCGTTTTTAAAAGTTGAGAAAATTTGTAACACCTTAAAAATTTAATTAGGAATTAATTAACTTAATTGAGGAGAAATGGTAAAAATAATGAATTTATTGGTTTAACAAGTGATTAAGGATCATCAATGAACCTAATTAGACTATTAAACATCTTGGGCTGGTTTTGTTATTGGGAGGTTTTGGGTCTAGGAGGAGACACAATGAGGGCCTCACTATGTCATCCGCTGCAGTGAATGGTGCATGTGCCTTGATAGATGGCCTTTCAGGAATTAAAATCTGTTGAGAGACAGATTGCGAAATCAAAAGAAATAGGGAGAAATAATAGAAGGGCAACATGAGAAGGATTTGGCTCTACCAAGGCATTATTTTCCTAGAGTCTTAAAGCCTGTTTGGAGCCCTAATCACTTGGGTATGTTTCTCTAACTTTCTTCATCTCATTCTACACAAATTTCCACCTAGGTATTGGGCTATGGGTGATGACTATAAGCTCTATAGTGATATGATTGAACCTAATGGGTTCATTGTGACTAAAAGGATGTTTTTCACGTCTCTGAACCAATTATTATGTTCTTGATGGGGTTATTATGTTAGGTTGTGATTTTAAAGCTAACCCTAGATTTGAAAAATTCTAACTTGAGGTTAAAAGGACTTAATGATGAGTTTAGGTAGACTTTAAGGAGTCTAATGAAGCTAATAAGGCTAGTGAAAATCTAAGTTAACTAACGAAATGGATTTTGAGAGGTTATGGGTAGTTATGGATTAATGCCTATGATTTATTATTAATGTATCAAGAAACATTAACTGTAGATTAACAACTCAACTTGTTTGTGTGTGTAGGAAATAACTTTTAATTTTTTTAAATAAAATGTGGGAGTTATATGTTTTTGGCCCCCTAAGTTAACGCATTATATAAGCTCTAAGAGTTAAATGTAATTCTTATTTTAATTTTATATGTATTTTTTTACACATATATTATGAATAGTCCAACTGCTTTAGTAGCTTAAAGATATAATTGTCATAAGATCTATTTATTTTCAATAAGATAATGTTATGCTTGCTCTTAAAGCATTGATGCTATATGTTTTGCTTTTATTTTATATTTGATGACATAAATTATGAGAATTATTACTAACAAACTTTATCAAGTATTGTAATAAAAATTATAAAATATATTAAATGATACAGGCTTGATATCCACTATAAAATTATTTATCCAAAAGTAAGAGGTTATGGTTAAAATATATTCTCATAGAAAAAAATTAATTTTGTCTATTATAACCAAACTATTAAAATTTATTATATGAATAGTTTTTATCATGATATAAATAGATTTTATTGACGTAAAGAATTAGTGGCACTTAAGTATGATTATTGTGTTGATTTATTTATTTATTTACTCTAATTATCAATTAAAAGAATTAAATAGTAAATTTAATAAGAAAGTAATAGAGCTTCATAGATTAAACAACCCAATGATGTATTTAGATTATTCAATGCCTATGGGAAAATGAAATTTTTATTAATTTAATGATAGTTTATATTGATAATGAAATTGCTGAAAGTTTATTATAGACATGATAATTAATTATTCTTATGCCAAGAAAAATCGATGAATAAAACTCAAAAAACAAATGTATATATTTATTTTTGGCTATATATTTGTAAAATCAATAAATATATATATATATATATATATGTTGAAATATTTATGTTATCTAAGTGATATATATAGATTTAACTTTCCTTATATTGACATATATTCTTTGTTATGTTGGCCTCCCTTAATAAAATTTTCTGACCCCGCCCTTTTGTGTATGTATAAATGATGTGATGATAATCAATGATTTGAAAATGTGAAAGCACGAGTATGAATTATGTGACTATGCTATATACGTTGGGAATTATTAATGGTGATATGAAATAAAGAATCATGCTATAGGTATTGTGATAGGTGTACATGTGGTTAACTTTATGTGAATATGAAATGAACACAATCATATCAGTGTTATTAATGTAACATGAAATGGGTTGGAGTTCACCCTAGAATTGGAGAGTGTGCACATAAGTCCATATGGCATTGACAACATATGGGTACCACCTAATATTGCTTAGCTGTGATACCAACTCCGATGGGAGTTTGGCATAGTTGTGACTTAACCAAAGATACCCATTCAGGAGTAGGTATGTAGCACTGGCTAATTATATGACACATTGCGGGAATTCAATTAGCAAGGAAGTCCATAGTGTAAGTTTGAATGAGGTGGTTATCGGCCAATTTACCCTTCAAATATTGGAGAGCTTGAGCTAGTTCGGTTACATGGACTTAGTTGATTGGACTTAGTTTTATTATAATGTAGCCAAAAGAGCTCAATCAGAAGAAATAAGAAGGATGCAAGGAGATGAATGATCATGCATGAATAAATAGGTGCAATGTGACATTAATTGTGACTTCATGCTTAAACAACTTTAGATGCTTTGTGAATATATGTTGGAAGTTAGGAGATCCTTGATTACCGATGTATTTATCTCATTCTCCATTGGTAAATGTTTTACAAGTGAAGTATTAGGTAGTGGCACACAATTAGAGCAATTGGTTGTAATGCCTCTTATTATTTTGTGTAGAGGGTGTTTTGTATTACTTTGTATGTGTGTGTTGCAAACTAGGAGATTATCATGCATATTGATTGAACATGGTTTGGTTTTATACCTTTAGCCTACTTTTATGTATCAAGTATTGAGGGCTTGGCTCAAGGCTAGGATATTTGATGTTATGCTTGGATTTTGAAAAACATGACTGTGAATGATATGGGTTTTTATGATAAAGTGATGTGTATGATGGCATCATATCAAAAGTGAATTTTTGACTCCCCTAGCAAATTGTGTTGTGAGGCTGCTTAAGAGGTTATTGTATTTTGTTTGAATGCAATGTGTTTACTATGGTATTTTTGGTGGTGATTCAAGGCTTGGATGGGACTAATGGTTTATGGTTGTGTTTTAGATACTCAAGAATTGTTTTAACAATTAGAAGGAATACTCTTGGTCCTAGGTGCCTAACTTTTTCATGTGTTAGTATTTTGGAATGAAACCAAAGCTATTAATTAGGGTTTATCAACAGTTTCCTATGGACACCTTAACTACCCTAATATAATGTCGGACGATAAAATGATGCACTCTAGAAATTAGGCTTTTGGTATTGTCATAACAGTAGTGATGCTATCATGATCATTTGTGTGTTGTAGTGCATAACACAATGAGAGTTGTACACCCTCTATGTTGTTAGCCATGATTGATGTGCAATTAGTCACGACAGAGGGATAAAAAAAGGGTATTTGACACCTTGTGTTCCTCAAATTGATGTGTGATGTCTTGTAGTGGTTGTGATATATTTTCATGTGATCCTTTACTCTAATTTTACTTCATTTGGGCTCAAATAACCTTAAAATATATTTTAAAAAATGGGATCTAATTTTCAAATGCTATCTTTGGTCTTGCTTCTCTTGCCCTTGGTTAATTTTAATGACCATGGTAATATGTATAGTTGTGGATTAAGCTAGCAATAGAGTATTACAATTTGTATAATAAATAAGCTTAGAGTTTATGGTGCTACTGGATCTAAAGCTTGGGGAACAATTTGTTCATTTACCTAATTTAAAATCATGAATGCTAGTAAAAAAAACAAAATCATAAAATATTGTTTTATTTAGTACAAGACTAAATTAAATACATTTAATTAAAATTTACACTGAACATCAAGAATTATAAATTAATATAATTTAAAAATAAATAATAATACTTGATAGTTGATAATTAAAAAAATTAATATTAATTAATTATTAATTATTAATTAAATAATATAAATTATGGTTCTAGTACGAGATGATTTATTACTGAACAAATTATCTGATCAATTTATAAATAGAATGATACAACTTAACTACATATAATTGATGTAGTAAAATGTAATCAGGGTCATTGACGATGTAATATTCTCCATATAATCAAGGTCAATTTTTTTTTTAAATAATCTAAAGTTAATGTTTAACACAAATATAGTCATAATAAAAAATTGTGCAATATTAAAAAAAAAACACAAAACAAAAAGCAGTCAAAATTACGAAGGCTTAAAACTGACAGTCCTAATTTTTTTAATTCTCAGTGTTTTGTTATTCCATTTATACTCATTTATTATTTTGTATAAATTAAAATTTCGCACAATGTTTTTTTTCCCAGTTTGTTTTAGAATTAAATCTCAAAGGCCCATAGAAATTCATCCAACCTTCCATTAATTTTTTTTCCCTCTTTCTTCTGTATTATGTATTATTGAAATCTGAGTCCACCAGTGAAACTGGTAAATCGTATTTTATTTATGATCACTTTAACTATAATTAAATTATGATTTAAATCAATAATCCTTAAGCAGTATCACACTAACACATATTTGGTCCTGCAAATTGAACCACTTTACAACATCAAAATTATTTTTTTTTTCAAATATCTATTAACATTCTAGCACACTATTGTAAAACATTAAAATATAATAGGAACAGACCGGAACTCCAGGTTAAACAAAAAATAAATAAATTTCATTTTTAAAGTTTTAATACATTATGCTGTACAATTTTATTTAAAATACACCGTGTATAATTTAATGAAAGTTGTATACTCATGCACTTATTTGCAAAAATTATACAGTTTCTTTTTTTTTTAACAGAAAAAATTATACTGTTTCAAAAAAATAGCTTTCTTTGATATTTTAAAAGAAGAGTCTCATGATAAAAAAATTATAATATAGATATATATAGATATATATATATGATATTTTTATTTCCTTAAATAATACAAAATAATAATATTTTTCACTTCTCTCTGCAAAGAGGGACGCTGGTCAAAAGGGGGGAAAATACATACTACATGGCCTTCTCGTGAAAAAGCAGAGGAATACGAATAAAGAAAGAATGAGAGCTGCGTCTGCGTAGATTTGGAGACAGGACAGTGCATCCAATCCCTCCTCTAATCGAAAGTCGAAACGTAGATTCCCATTATTTTCAACCTTCAAGTACTCCTTCTTCCTCTTGGCGGCAACCACGCCCAACAATTCCCCTGTCTCTCTCTTCTCTCACTCTCTCCATCAATAACAACCAGAAAGATGCAGATCTTCGTCAAAACTTTGACCGGAAAGACTATCACTCTCGAGGTCGAGAGTAGCGACACCATCGACAATGTCAAGGCCAAGATTCAGGTTCAATTTTCAGTTCCTCACCTCTTTTTCCGTGTTTTTATTGATTGGGATTTCATCTAAAGAGGTGGCTTTGTCGGTAAAGTTGCATGAGTCATAGTTATTTTCATCCTTTTTTCCCTGGTCAAAACATAGTTGTTTTCAGCAATCAATTTATCGGTAGTGGTTTTGCCTTCCGAGTTTTCTGTTCGGGTTCCTAGTTGTTGCTTGTAGATAGAATTTTGCTGTGAATAGGTGATTTTGGTTTTAGTTCTTATCCGATATGTTAGTATGGTTGTCAATACGAAGGGGGTGTGACCAATTCGATGTTGGTTTCCCTGGAAGTGTAAAGCTTAACTTGAATATTGCACTTCTTGTCCCTGAAACCGGTATCGAGAAGTAAGCTGTGATCAAAGTGATCCTGTGGCACAAGATGCTTTGTACCTGTCAAATTCATGCTTCATCAAATTCTGTTGAAATATAGAGGAGTAACGGACTCTAGCCTTTTTTTTTTTTTTTTTAACTGTGATATCATCGTAGACCTGAGAAAGTGAAACTTTTCTATGTTTGACATTGAGTTTCTCTGCTAGCACAGGTAAACACGTCGTTGGAAGGAATTTTTAATGTGTGTTCGCGCGTTAGGTTATAGTTTACTGATATTTGCATATTTGAACAATTTAAAAATTGCTGATATCTTAATCCTCCCGGAATAATCGGGAAGATTGAAAAGCTTTGAAAATTAAGTAACAATGTTATGTAGTGGAGAACTGAGATTTATTTTTCTTTATTGTATGGTGCTATAATTTGACAGAATCCATATGCCCGCATCTGTGTTTGTCCTTATTTATGAAGATTGTGGTGCTTGTGTTGAGGGTAAAATTTTGAATCACAATATCATTGCAATTGATAAGTTGGTGGTGTTAATTTCTAATGACTTGTGGATCACATATCTGTAGGACAAGGAAGGTATCCCCCCTGACCAGCAGAGGTTGATTTTTGCTGGTAAGCAGCTGGAAGATGGTCGCACTCTTGCTGATTATAACATTCAAAAGGAATCAACACTTCATTTGGTTCTGAGGCTTAGAGGAGGAACCATGATTAAAGTGAAGACACTTACTGGAAAAGAAATTGAAATTGACATTGAGCCAACTGATACCATTGACCGGATCAAGGAACGTGTTGAAGAGAAAGAGGGAATTCCACCTGTTCAGCAGAGGTTTGTTCTTTCGTTTTTGCTCAATTTACCGTTTGGGCTGAAGCTATTCATTGGCAGATGATTGACTGTTAGATGAAAACTTGTAAGGTCACTTGTTAAATGCAGAAACTTATATGTGTTTGATCTGATCATATGTTATCCTACCTCTATCATTTTTGTGCATTTAAGATAGAGATATACAGCATTTATATATCGTTGTTTCATTGTCTTGTCTTCGTTTAAGTTTCCCCCTTACAGGGATTTTTGTTGCTGGCCATTGATGAATTAAGTTGTACTTAAATTTTGATATAGGACTTTGTTTTCTTTGTCTTTATAGTATAATTTACTTTGCTATGCCTTTTCTCTAAGAAGTGCTGAATTTACGTATTTTAACTTTAAAGATATTTGGAATTTGGCATGCCACTGGCCACTGCATGTCCATATCCATGCCTCTATTTTGGCCATAATTTGAATTATAACAACTCTCTTATCTGCTTCCTGCTTTTGATATGCTAACATAATTCTGAATAGCAGTATTGTATGCTCGAGTCTTGAATTGTTGTTTGTGAACCTTCTGAACTATGCTAATGTTTTATCAGAGTCATATTTAATCTGCTTGCCCTTCATTAGCTACAGCGAAATTTGAATCTTGCTGACAAGTAACTCCTGTTCAATTTCACTTATTTGACTTCCAATTTCCTTTTATACAATATCAAGGGTTTTGTTATTCCACCCTAAACATCAGAATCTATTATTGCTACTTATTTCAGGCTCATATATGCCGGGAAGCAGCTGGCAGATGACAAAACAGCTAAAGAGTACAACATTGAAGGTGGTTCTGTGCTTCACCTGGTGCTTGCCCTTAGGGGTGGTAGTCTTTATGTATAATAATGAGCATCCAATGACCGGGCACTCTGTTTGCACAGACTCGGTCACTTCTTGGTAAAATCTGTTAGTCACATCTAAAGCATGAAACCATGAATGGAAACTGTGTCACTATCTGTCTCTGAACATGGCGTTGTTATATTATAACTTTGTTTCCAGCAATTTGCTGCAATTGTTGTTATAGGGAGATTGACTCAAGTTATATGCTTTCAAACCCCATGGTTCTCTGAATGATGGATAGTTGAACTGTAAATTCATAAGCAATAGTTGAGGAACTTGATCTGATTCAACATCATGCTTGCTCAGAGGAGTTCTGGTTCTTTCCTAACATTATCCCCTATTAGAGTGAATCTGGTATTTACTAGAGTTCTAATACCACCGCCGCCACCACCAATAATAATAATAGTAAGCCTGTCAAACATGATGATCGTTGAGGAATTTAATATATAGAAACTTTTTGAAAGATAAATATCTAGGGACTCTTCTATAGGAGTTATTGCTAACCAGTGAGAAAGGAATGGGGGACTGATGGAAGTCATGGCCTCTCAAGTTTTTAATTCTTTTAATATTATACAGGTTTTATATAATTAGGGTCCGCCAGTACCTAAAATTTATATTATATGTTTTTTGCCAAATCTTGTACCCCCCGCCTCCGGTTGCCAACTATCTTCTATTTTTGGGTGCTCATCCAAAATGGTGGATGGAGTGTCTATAGATTGCAATGTTATTTGTGGGATTTGAATCATGACATGATCTTGTAAATTGTAAAGAGATTTGTTTGATACACGGTGTAGAATGAAAGTGAAAATGAGGGAAGACAAAAGTAAATCTATGATTTGGAAATGCCTCTTGTATACCTAAAGGAAAAAAAAAAAACAATACAATACAACAATTACTGCTAAGTATGATAATGGAAGTTCCAAGGAAGTCTGTTTCGTATTTGCAACCAGACACCTCCAAGAGAGACATACTAGGACGCGCGCGCGCGCAGGGATTGGTCGAATGTGGTTTTTCTTGTTTTAGGTTCGAGATTAAATTACATTTGGAAGGATTTTGAAGAGGATATTGGTAGTGTGTGAGAGGTCTTAATAGAAAAAAGTCAGATTTTACTGTCAAGTGGACTACCTTTGTGATTGGGTGATGAATACTGCTGATTGCTGAAGACTTTGGAGAAGGGTGGCCTCAGACATGTGGGAAGAGTCAGATATTGGACTGAGTTTGAAGAGAGACTGAATCTAAATATGCTCTATGGACACACCTGAGAATGAAATGCTTCACGTTCAATGGTCCAAATCAACTCATCTTCTGGATTCTGTGTGTAGGCCATCACTTATCAATCCTGTTATAATCATTCAAGCTGCCTCTGCCGAGGGCTTTTTTTCCTTTTTTAAAAAATTATTGTTTTTGAAAAGGTAGGGCTTGGGTTTATTAAAAAGGATTAATTTTTATAAAGTGACAAATTTAGGATTGGATTTTTATTGAGAAATGTGCTTATATTTAATATGTAATCGTGTTTTAAATAGGATTATAATTTTGTATCGGCCCTCACCCATCAATCCTACTATAAAATTATAATCATTCAGGCCGTGTCTTTGGGGAGGGCTTTTCTTCTTTCCTTTTTTAAAATTATTGTTTTGGCTTTTATTGTTTTTATTTTTAAGCGAAAGTTTTAGCATATCTGAAATTTTTCTTTGAATATGCTCACTCCCATGATGGGGCGCACTTCACATTCAATGGTCCAAACCAATTCATCTGCTGGATTCTGCACGCAGCATTTCACCTTTCTCCTTTCATAGGAAAGCTTCTCTTCATTGGCATGATTTTAAAAACTAGACCGGATTGGCTAGTTCAATCGGTTAAATTGAGAATCGATTCTTGGTCCAGTTCAGTTGAAGCTCAAGAATCAGTCATTAGGAAACTGGTCAATAACATGTAAAATCGGATAAAAATTGGACTGATTCCCTTGAGAAAACTGGACAAATTAAAAGTTATTAAGGAAAACATAATTTTTGATCTTTACACTTTGCTCGTGTTTTGTTATAGGTCCCTATATTTTTTTCAATGTTTTGGATCTTTACATTTTCATTTGTGGTGTTTTATATTCATTTAAGGTCCCTACATTTTGATCATTTTGGTCATTTAGGGACCTAGAATATTAAAAAATAAAAGTGTAGAAACTCAAAATACTAAAAAAAGTATATGAACCTAAAACAAAACACGGTCAAAATACAATAACCAAAAGTTATGTTTTTCCAAATTATTAAAAAATAAAACAAATCAGAATTAAAATTAAAATACTAAAAGCTTTGGGCCAAGAGCTGTAACTTTTGCAAATATAAGCTCAGCCTCTCCTGTGACAATCTCTTTCTCCTTTCCATACAGATGATGTGGGACTCAATCAAGTATTTTGCACGTACAGTACGCCCCCCTTTTTTTCCTCTTTTTTCTTTTAATTTTTGTTGATAAATTTTTTTTTTTGCATTTATCTTGATTTTTTTAATGTGGGCACATATTTTTAATCTTTATACTTTCTATTATTTATGCATATTTTTTAAAATCTGATCCTTTTAGTTTAAACATGCCTTCAAAAAATGTCTAATATTTTATTATTTTATCAACATCTTTCTTAATATTTAAATGAAAAGCTTCACTTATAAATAATATTAATCATGTATTCATCAATAATAAATTATACTATCAAGAATCTATAATGTATTTTTGAAAAAAAATCCATATTTAAATGTATTTCTTATTTAATTATGATATATAAATTAAAAATATATTAATTTAATGTCAACCGTTTCGACCCTGGTTTGACTACAGTCCAACTAATGAATTGTAAACCAGTATCTTATCCGATTTAATAATTGGTTCGGTTTTTAAAACCTTCTTAATCTAAGCGTATTATAAATTTTTTACATGGTTACACCAAGACTCTGAAAAAAAGAAAAAGAGAGTAAATTATACAATTTCAGTTTAATTCAAATTTATTTTTCAAGTGCATATAACTCTTTTTTAAAAAAGTATCATATATTTTAATTTTAATTTGAATTTTTTCATTGAAATATTCTATATTAAATTTTTTATTTTAAGAAATGAGTTTAAATTAATATGTCTTGGTAAAAAATAAATTAAATATAAATGGTTTCTTAGCAAGTCACTTAGCCGTCTCTTATCATTAGATTATCAATAACATAGCATGTACTCTTTGGATGCTGAAGATTTTTTTTTTTTTAAAATAAGATTGGGGGGTGGGTGGGGGTAGGGTGAGAGATGGTAATTAACCAATGGCCTATAATGATTGATCACCATTGACTCTTAATTTTGGCCTGAATCGTCACTGCTTTATAATAATTATGATTCATCTTCGTTCTTAATTTGCCAATGCTCACCCTTTTTGATATTATTTTTATGATCCATAATCGTCACTGCTTTATGATTCATCCTCTTTTTAATATTATTTTTCATGATCATGCTATCCACAAATGAATTTGAGATTTTGGATATTCAAAGATTTGTTTAATCTTACTCTAAACTTCATAACTTCAACTGCTTGGCCAAGTCATGGAGAAGAAAATATGTCATCAGATTAATGAATGCTAGATTTAGTGAAAGAAACTAGTCCCTCATAATACGATAAATTAAGGTTTGAATTTTTATTAAGAGAGATGCAAATATTTATATAGTTGCACACATCCTAAGTTATTGGGATATAAATCTAATAATGATACTACTTTGTCCTAGTATATGAGTTTTTTTGTTGTTGTAAATTTGTGAATATCAATTAAATTAATTAAAATTTAGTTTCGAATCTAACTTCTCCAAAAAGAAATATAAGCCAAAAATACCTTCCATTTAACAAGAGGGAGAGAGAAATTAAGATAATTAAGGAGTAAAATGATGAAGAGTAATTTTAAAATAGATTTTATTAAAGAATTATTATTTTTTAATAACATCTTATATTATGAAAAATCAAATCACTCATGAGGTGGAGGGAGTACATATAATAAAATAGTTATAGAGGATAATAATATTTTGTCTAGTTCTATATATAAGTTACTTTTAATCATCTCACTATAGTTATTGCTATGACTGTTATGATTTTATTAGATTATCATTAGACTTTTTTATGTAACTTCTAAGCTTATTGTTGCTTGTAAATATTATATCATTGGGAGGAAAAGATGAGCTAAGCATGGGATCAAAGGATGTTAGGTATAAGACTTTCAATATAATAAGACATAAATGGGGCCATCTAAGCAATGGGTAAAAGGGTCTCAACCCCATAGCAAAATGTTAATAGCTCATGTTGTAGACAATTCTAATTATGATTGTTTAAAATATTTTTTGAATGTTGCTTTGAACTTTCTATATATGCATTTCTTTATACTTTGTTCAACTTTATATGTATGGAATGGTTCAAACATTTTAATTATAATTGATGCAATATTGAATTTTTCTCATATTATTGTAATTAGAAATTTGTACGGGAATTAAAATATTGAGAATCTACAAATTGGCAAGAGATTTATCAAAATAAATTGAGTATTAGCAAGGGATTTAAAAAAAATTAAAATTAGTGAGAGATTTAGTGAATGATTTTTTTTTTAAAATATCAATATTAGTGAAGGATTCATCAGTCACTCAATTAGCAATGAACCTATGGCTCGCTATTCATGTGGAATATGTGATATGTTTAGCAAGAGATTAGTGATAGATAGGTTTGTCACCAATTTAGTGAAGGACTGAATTACTCACAACAACTATCAATTTTGAAAACTATTAACAATATTAATGAGGAATATTGATTCTTCCTAAATTTAGCAAGGGACTTTTAGCGAGAGATATGGATCCCTCGCTGAATTTGGTGAGGGTCATAACCTCTCATTAAATTCATTTTAGTAAGGGATATATTGAATAGTGTTAAAATTAATGAAAGATCGTTAAATTAGTAATATTGTCTAAAAAAGAAAGAAAATTTTTAAATTTATCTTTATTAAATATATTATATTTAAAAGCACTTTATTTCCTTCTCATACGGAACTTTTTATTTTATTTATACGAAATTGTAAAATAATAAAATTATAATTTAAAAATTAATCATCCTTTCTTTTTTACCCAAAGCAACTTATAAAAATGATTATTAATTTTTTCTAGAGGATGAGTTATATATGAGACTAGCAGGGCTGGCTCACACAGAGTTGCCATTAGGAATAGATGATATATTGAAGCAGCGGTATTGCATGTGGCATGCTGCGAACTCATCCCAACGTGTCCCAAGCTTAATTACCTTTAATTTTTACACTATCAATTAATAATTTAATTTCTTCAGTGGCTAACGTAAACCACACCTCATTAATTACTGTATATGTGTGTTTGTGTATGTGATGAATATCATATTGTTTCTTGTTAAAATTCAAAACTAAGTTGTTTAGGTATTCCATTAGTGTCAACTATGTCATCCTCCTTATTCTTTCCAACGTCTCTATCATTTGACAAAAAACTTGTGAGATACTATCAATTATTCTTCGTTGATCTTCCCTTTTTCAATTTCAAGTGACAATTACACTTCACAATTTCTAGCCACTCCAAACAATAATCATAGCATTACCCTGCGTGTGCCTATCACTAAAAAGTCCAAGACCAACTATAATTAATTACTACTACTTTAGGATTATTTGTTTTCCAACCATAACATATGTTCATATATATATATATATATATATAAAATCACAATTCATGTATCTATTTAAATGAACTTCAAAGTATAAAAAATACCTTAAACTAGAAACACGGAATGCGTTTTATACACACAAAATATGAGGAATGAATGAGCAACGCAATTGTGCTTACAATAAACTTCATATGTTGGAAAAATTAATAATTTGACCTTATAGTTTGATATGATTGAAATTCAATTCTTAAACTTTAACTTTGTGTATCTCAATCTTTATAATTAGCACTTCAAAATATTAATCCCAAACTTTCAAATATAGTTTTAAATAATTAAAACCATAGGGACTAGCATATGAAAGTTATGTAACTGGTTGAGTTTTAATTGAGTTAAAATTATAGAGATTAAATTGTGCTAACTACTAAATTAAAGTTTAATTGAATTAAGATCATAAGAATTAAATGATTAATTTTTCTTATATTTATTGATTTATTGATAATACCAATCTCATTACACTTTTTTTTTTAAAAGAAAATAAAACAAAAGCCATACTTATTTCCCTTTGAAAAAGGGATCCATCTTATTCTTACCGAATACTTGTTCTTGAAATAAAACCAAATTACTACTAAAAATTAGATTAGGTGACATGTGAAAAATAGGCATCTAGTCAAAGGATTACCTGAACGAAAACTGTAGGTTTGTGTTCACATACACATAAGTGATGCGTCACACTTACGCAATAATACATAATATTTATTCTGATGCACTTTTGAATATATATCTTCCTTGTTGTTCTCGTTTATCTTCTTGTTCGTGTTTTTTTTTTTTTTGGGTCGAACTTGCTCATCAGTCCTGTACAGTGCTTTCTTGGTGCCTGTCGTTGGACTTTTTCAGTCACATTTCATTAATTATATTTATTGGTGGTAAGTGGATTTGTATCCTGAAACAAAAGAAATTTACAAGGGTCAAGGTATTAGGTACATATCTATATATATAAAAGAGACACAAAAGGCTTACAATGTTAATTAGTTCCCCTACCTCAGACTTGAGAGTACATACATAAATGGATCAGCTTTTTGTTTATTTTTTTCCCCCCAACTCTTGGGTGTCCTTATCATGTTGGTAAACTTATAGACTACTAAGTGTATGTGACTGTGGAATAATATTAGAGACCGTTGTTAAATTTTTTGTTCTAGTATAGTAGTATTTGGTTTTAAAAAAGAAGGCACTTAAATAGGGCTGCATACAGGTGACCTAAATCATGAGACTCTTGTCTTTGACGTGAAAGCACACCATGAATCTCACGACATTCCACTTGTATTTTTCTTTTTTAAAAATAAAATTGTGTGTTAATATATATAATATAATTAAGTTTCAAATTAATGAATCTTACACACCTAATGTAATGATCATTCAAATTCAATGCATATAGTCGATCAGTATTTAGTCAAATCTCATTGCTCATTTTGACTTATTATTTTTTTATTAATTGTGTCAAATTATTTGACCCGTAGTTTTCAAAATAATTTCACCTGGGGACTCGCTCGACTAAACTACAAAAAATATTCTTTTTTTTTTAGATTGGAAAGTTTATTATATACTTGCAACATCATTCAATAGCACTTACTTCTATCATATTTCATATCCTTTTTAATTAAATATTTTTTTTAATGACTAGAGTGAGTGCTTAGGCGGCTCCTTATTTTTTTTAACATTTTATTCCAATTTTTATTAGGTTATTTTAATTTAAAATGATATTTTTTTGTTGCATCGAAAAAATTTGAACCCCAAACTGATCTGAGCTACCCAATTCAGAATTTTTTTTACAAGGTATGTGCATGTCTCATTATTTTAAAATTATATTTTTAAAAACGTATTAAATTTTTCAACAACGTTAATGAATTTTAAAAATTTTCTTGATCTTAGTGAAATATATTAAAAGTGATTTATGAATAAAACAAGAGAAGTATATGTACTCCTTTCGTTAAAAAATATAAAGCATTTTTAACCGAATCTCATCTCTCTATAAAGTAGTTACCTACTTTTAAATTAACTCTATCTTTTCATATTTACTCATATTAAACACCTTATAATAAATATAAAGTCATTATCAATAGAGAAACTTTTGAAAAAAGGTAATGATTATACCTTAAAAGATTAAAAATATGTTATATTTTTGAACATCTAAACCCTAAATCCTAATTATTTTATGATTTTTTAAAAATATTTTTCAGTTATGTAAATCTAATTATAAAGTTTGATAGTTCAGCACATGCACAATGTCTCCCAAGAACGAAAGTAAAGTTCAATTACCTCTAAAATTTAAGAAATTTGGATCATTAGAAACTTTTTTATTGTGGATAAGAAAAACAAAGAATGTGTAGCTGAGCATAAAATAAGATTTGGACCCCTCTCTCTTTGTGGCTTTAAATCAAGGATATTTTTGAAAATTTGAATGTCCCATCCAAGAGCAAAGGTTATATTTCTTTCTGTGAAATACACTATATACTTTCTCATCTCAAATAAATTCTCAAATATTAATTGCATGTACATATATAAGATTTCAGGATTTACTACACAATTTATAATAATAATAATAATAATAATAATAATAATAATAATAATAATAATAATAATAATAATAATAAGATTTCAGGATTTACTACACAATTTATATTATTATTATTATTATTAATATTAATATTATTATTATTATTTAGGTGGGGTTATGTGCATGACACCAGCAGCTTAATAGGTAAATGATTATAATATCATCAATATTGTTATTAATAATACACTATACAATTCATTTTCAAGCTCCGTGTACATTAATTCAATGGGAAATAATCTAGCAACAATAATTTAATTGTAATATTTAATTGAACCATGAAGTTACAATACTCAACTCAAATTTTATATATCACATGAATCACAAACCATTAATTCATATAATATTTGTTAATTCAGAACCATTAATAAATAGTATATGAAGGATTATCGAGTCAAATATTTTTTCTACAGGAAGAAATAATCATGAGAATATTAATATTCCTTGCCAATTTTGTGCTTAGGTTATATGAAATGAACAAAAGGTGGAGAAGATGAAGATCTGAATCCATGGATTATGAAAATTTTCTCATATAATATATATTCCGAAATCGAATTAATATCATCACCATGCATTTAATTTGCAGCAGACACATAGAAAAGAAAAAAATAAAAAGAAAGAAGTTGCTTAAATATAAAGACCAAAACTGGCATGCAAGAATATATCAATTTTACAATTAAATATTCATATTTGTCTATAAGTTTCGATTTAATTGATACTTTCCCCCCATGTATTAGTACGATCAAGAGGTCTTGGCGCCACCCCCCCCCCCAAAAAAAAAAGAGGTCGTAACGTAAATGATTGTTCGTTTAATTTATTCATGAACCAAAAATTTTAAAAAATGAAATTAGTTGTATACAACTTTTACTTAAAATAATATTTTGGAAAAATACACTCAATTCAAGACCTAACACTTATAGTAAGATTGATAATGATAGTAGTTTATTTTTTATAAAAAATTTAAACCCTTTTAAAAATATAAGAATAAGTTATTATCGCCACTTATTACACTTCATAATTATATATTTTTTCTGCCTTCCTCTTTTAGTTTATGACCTGAATAATAAAAATTAAATTTAAACAGTTTGGAAGTGATAAACTCTCAGTGCTCATCTATATGATGAGCAATGAGAGTGGTTTCGTTAATTATTACACTTTTAGTTTTTAAGATCTTTGTGATTAACTTACTATTATCAATTTTTTAAACCGTACTTTTCTACATATTTTTCTACATTTAAGAGGAACAGGGAAAACTTTTGACTTAATATATATATATATATAAAGAGGAACAGGGAAAACTTTTTGGGAGCATATTTGCAGACATCATAAAGAGGAAAAGGGCTGCAAGTTTTCAGAAAAAAAGAACGGATTTGATTGCTCAAATAATTATTCCCACATGGAAATAAATTGAACTCCCAATAATAAATACATACATAAAGTCAAAAAGAAAAAAAATCAGACTGGAATACCCAACTAGTGGCCAGGAATATGACTTTAATGTCATTAATGAAAAAGACAATAAAAGTAATTAAATGAACATATTTATTGTATTGGATGAATTAATATCAAATCAATCCCAACTTGGATCTCCTTTCTATCTTTTAGTGCCACAAAATCCAAATTCGTGGCATGACTCTTGTGGCTTCTCTTCTCTCGCCACCCTTACACATACACATATTTTGGAAACACGTAAACATATGGATAGAGATAGAGAGAGAGAGAGAGAGAGAGAGAGAGAGACAGTGAATATGTATATATATGAGCGTGTGTTTGTGTAAACTAATCCAATGGTGTGTGTGACGAGTGTGTGTATATATAAGAGGCTAGTTAGGGTTAATTAATCAGTAGTGATCATAGAGATCGAATATCAGAAATGGGAAAAGGAAGAGCTCCATGCTGTGATAAGAACAAGGTGAAGAGAGGACCTTGGAGCCCTCAAGAAGACCTCAAGCTCGTCACCTTCATCCAGAAACACGGTCATCAGAATTGGCGTTCCCTCCCCAAGCAAGCTGGTATGTGTGTATGTGTATATATATATATGATCGTTATTTGTGTTTGTTTGTGTTTGTGTGTTAATATATCATAAAACCTATCCCTCTCTCTCTTTCTCTCTCGCACTCTCTCTGAATTATTCATAATCTTAAATCATTATAGACCCTTCACTTTGCAGTTTCTGATATCAACTTCTAGCGTTTCTGCATTTTGCATTATTTATTCATATGATAACATGTATGCGCAAATCTTCTTCTGCTTCATATCAGAATGCTTTTTTGCCTCTGAATAAATGAAAATCGTTGAATTTGACTGATGATTAATTTACTTGTTTTTTAGTTGAAATTTAATGTTTGATTCATTATTCGGAGGCGATGACACATCTGGTTGTCTTCTGGGTGAAAAAGATTTCAAGTTTGGTCAGCAATTTTTTGGTGTGGGTCCTTGTTTTACCTATACAATGACATTCGAAATATTGAAGAATAAAATAATCTCACACTTCTTCATCTTCTTCATCTTCGTCATCATGTCCAATTTCTGATAATGCATTTTACCTACCATTAATATGGTCCATCTTCCACCACCTAGCTTGCTTCAGATATCACTTCATATACATACGAAATATATATATATATATATATATATATTATTTATAAGCAGTTTTCAATGATCAGGTCAAATTGCACAAGCCATGTCCCTTCTTCATTTTGGATTTTAGAGCCTCGATCCTTACAGAAACTCTTGATTGCAACATTTCTTTAAAATATGTTATTTTTTGAATGTTTTCTGGTAGAAAAATGTCATGAAGATCGAGCATGTTCAAAACCAGAGAGAAAGTGAAAGAGGGATATGAAGTATGAAAGCTTCATGCCCTTGGAAACCAGAATATCAGAAAATGAAAGTACTTAATATAGACGCTAGAAGCCGCTGATCTGAATCTACATTGAATATATGTTATGTGTGTGTTAGGCCTTCTTCGATGCGGAAAAAGCTGTCGTCTGAGATGGATCAACTATCTGAGGCCTGATGTGAAGAGAGGCAACTTCACAAAGGAAGAAGAGGAAGCTATAATGAAGCTCCATGAGGTCTTAGGAAACAAGTACGCTTCTTCTCTCTCTCGTGTTACACAAAATATGCTTCCATGTCTTGTCTTGATTAGGACCTTTTTCTTTCTTTATTTCTTTGGTTTTTTTAACGTTTTAAAGTTGAATTGATGAGACAGAATAATTAGAATATATTAACAGGTATTGATCTTTGTAGACGGGAGACTATTTAAGTATGGGTCTTATATTTGAGTCCGTGTGAACATTAAACATGTTTGGGGGAGCTACTTCTAATTAAATATGATAATATTTGAATCTGACCGCGTCATAAAATAATAATTAAAATATGTCAGGTAGAGTAGAGCAGGTTAAAAACATAATAATTAGTGAATGTCTTGTTTAGACGGAATAAAAAGATAAAAATTAAATTTTTTGACCAATTTCACTGATCCTTTTCTTTACTACATCATGATAATTTAATAATGAACAATAAAATTACTATTTTCATCTCAATTTATAAGACAATAAGAGAGATTTAGCAATGTTCTTGAATATAAAATTTGTTAAAAAAATAAAATTTTATTAATATTAATTTTTTCATTATATTCTATCTCTTTAATACCATTTTGCAAATAGATTATTAAATGAAAGGCATTTTTAAAAATCTGTATCTTTGTTTTAAAAATAAGATTGTAAAATATATTTAATAAATTTTATCTGTATGCGTGATTTTATTTAAAAATATCTTAAATTATAAATTAGGATCAGGGAGTATTAAATGATGGATTATTGCATAATTAACGGTAAAGTGTAAATCAATTTAGTGCGTGAGTGTGTGTGCATATATGTTTCCATTAATCCAAGTTTAATTTCATCAGGTGGTCAAAAATTGCGTCGGAGTTGCCTGGTAGAACAGACAATGAGATCAAAAATGTGTGGCACACCCATTTGAAGAAGAAATTATTGAAGAACAGTTCATCAAATAACCTGCAGTCCAGTACTGATCAATCCAAGCAAGAATCATCCATAACCTCTTCTTCTTCATCTTCCTCAACTGAACACCAACCAGTGATGACGACAGCAATAACTCCTCAGAAAACTACAGACAATAACGAGCAAAACTCCAAAGAAAACCTTAAGGAGTCCTCACCAAATTCCTTTCAATATTCAACTGATGATCAATTATCAACACCTATCTGCAAATTACAAGACGATGATCAGCTGGAACTACTTGCAGCGGCAGGTTCTTTATTGAATCAAGAAGGACCAGATTATACTACAGTACTAAACGAGGTGATTGACAAGGGAACTAATAATGATGACAGTATTAGTGGTTTGCTTGAAATACCATTGGAGGCAGACGATGATTTTTGGAACTTGTTGGATGATGACAACATGGGAGGAGGATCCTACGTATCAAATGATCATGGTCATCAGGTTCATTCATCAGATGCTGAAACTATGAAGTGGATCAGGGAGATTGAGAAAGATCTTGGATTGGAACCTCACGCATCATCTGATGATCTTACCACAGGATTGTGTGACGTAGACATATGGCCTGATGGTATTGCTGGTTTCTGAGTCTTGTAGGATTTTGTTCATTTACTAGCTAGCTAGTTTCAGACTATATTTTGTGTTTTTTTTTTTTTTTTGCCTTAGGTATCCTAACTTTATGATATACATGTGGATGAATATCTCTTTAGTGAAGATGGGGCATGAAGTGCTCTTAATCATCATGATGATGTATTATAATATATATAGCAAAATGCATGTTATTTTTTAATACTATATTCACTATTTGGTGTTATTATTATGCTAAATTAGGATCTTATATAACTATATTAAAATAAGATTTATTTGAATATCTTATAAGGAAGAATTACATACAGTCCTCTCCTAAAAGAATTAATCACAGATAAGGATCAATAACAAGTTTCATTCAAAAAAGAGTAAGTCATGTTTTTATTTTAACAATAATCCATTTTGCATTAATCCTTATTCGTAATTAATTTTTGTGGGAGAGGGCTGAATGTGATTTTCTCAATTAATAATTTCTTTTTTATTCTAAATATGACATATGAGTACTTTTTTATTAGGTTCCTTTTTCTTTTTCATGGTAAGGAAGCGAATTTAGCTGGTAGCTAGATTAGTTACTTTTTTTCGGTATATTATGAATGCATTGTTTGAAAATGTGCATAACATGGTCTGGTTACGATCTGATTGATATGTGCAAAAGAAAATTGTTGGTGAACAATATTATGTTATAGCTATCAGACAAAAAAAAAATTTGGTCAATGGAGTGGCTACGTTATTGTAAATATTCTCCGCTTAACAAACATTAGTTTGACAATTTTAGCTTCATGTCCCCACAACTTAAAAGAATAATATTTATATATATGTAAGGAAACTTGAAATTAACTTGGAAGTACAATTCTACATGACTCTGTCATATTCATACAAAACTACGAATTGCTGATTACTGATTTTGACTGATTCTTTTTAATTATGGAGTTCTTCTATCCACGCTCAAGTCAACAGAAACAAACAACCAATAAAATTGATCCAAAGAAAAAAAAAGGAACAAAACCAAAACCCTATCTATCTTGTCAAATAGTCTAAAAAGAAATGAATAAACTTGAAAAAATCATTAAATTGTTGGATTCATTTAATCGTAAAATAGGTGATCATGAATCATGTTGGCCTTATAAGAGCTAGCAATTTTCTTATGGATGACTTATAATTACCCCTTTGGACGTCGAATTCTATGTTATTATTATAAAAATAGAAATATCAATAGCAGTAGCAAAGTTGTGTCATGATCACTTTGTAATTTTTAATTTAGTGATAAATAAGAGTTGGATCATATTATAATCATCTTTAAACAACAATAATCTCGGCAGAAATTTATTCAAGTGATAATGTGTGTACCAAGTTTGTTATCTAATAAATTTTATATGATATTATATGGCTTATTAAATTAATATACTAAGATCAAAAATCAAAATGTGTTGGTCATGCCTAGGACAGCTAATGATTAGGACACAATCTTACCAAACAAGAAGATAATATGTGGTCATCTTTGGCTGCTTTCTTATGGTTGGGAAAACGAGAAAATATATTAAGAAAATAAACTAATTAATGTATCTAATTAATTGAACTATACTGAAGCACACATTAGGACAAGTCTTTGTCTTCTTCAACTTCACCTTGAGTTGTACAGTGACGCTTGAGATGGGTGGTATTGTCAGAAATCAGAAGGTTAAGCAGTGAACTTCACTATAAGAATTAAAATGAACAATTGACTTTGCAAATCTTAGAAGTAAAGCGTTGAATAGATAGATGATCGATCACAAGTCTGTGGTGTTCTTTTAATAAATTCTAATATTTGTGGCCTGGGTTACACCGACTTTGACTTTCACAGTATTTATTGCTGTCACAGATTAAACTTGTCAGTTCTCAGCCTTTTTTTTTTTTTTTTCCCTTTGCCCACCAGAAGTTTACGTTAGAATCCATATCATGTTATTACTTGAGTTGGATTCTCGTTGGAATCTATCTAGCTAGCTAGTTTTGGCTTGTAATGCCAACACTATACGACACAGAATAGAATATAGAATAGTTTTATTTGGGTTATTAGAAGGAATTATTTGGAAGAGACTTGCTATAAAGGTGACTCATATTCTACGTACGTACATGAACTATAAATCAAATAATTATAATGTGTATAGATTGCTTCTTGTTCTATACGTGATTTGAGAAAGAGACGCATACTCAGGCCCAAAGAAGAAAAGAAAAGAAAAGAAAGAGACGGATATACGTACAATAGAATAGGGTATACGTACAATAGAATAGGGACCACGCAGAGGGAGTACGTACGTACGGGTGTGTACAACACACACACACACATTTATTTTGAATCATCCAAGCTAGATTTAAATGATTTACATGCGTGCTAAATTCATTTTTGATTAGATAAAATAATCGGAGTTTGAGGCCAATTACTTCTCTGTTTCTCATTCCCTTTAATGTTTTTGTTGGCATCAAAGAGATGGTAATTGAACAAGTACTGAAACTAGGACAAATAAGGGGCAAAGACTGAATTCAGTGAATTGAGTATAGCTTTTTTCATGGCTGTGGCCAAGACAGCATTATTAGCTAGCTACTATAGTTACACGTGGCATTCTTCGGTCAAGCCATGCGTGAATGGGTGATACGTGCGCACACCAATTTTTCTTGTTGCAAGGAAGATCTGGAAAAAGACGTAAACTTAGCTAGTTTCGGATATGAGATACTTCTATTGCAAGCTATTTTTTGCATAGGCAATGGCAAAACCAAATGAGAAGTTTGAAGAACAGGCCAAGATCATGATGACTCGATAAAAAGCGTGTTTAATTTCACATTGTAAACAATCAAAACTATGATTTTAGTAGTTTCCCACACGAAACTAAACATGTATCAAAATCACTTAATTTGCAGTTTAATTTGTTACACACGCTTCGCTTAGTTTCTGCATATTTTTCATTACTTCATATATATATATATATATATATATCAATCTTCTTCTGCTGCTAATTAACTGCTATAATTTCTGTGCCATATTATTATTACTTTTTTCTCAGTGAGTCAACGGAAGTTGATTGATTCTTTGATTGTCTGATCTTTCTCGTTTGAAGTTGGTTTTGTGTGTGTGTGTGTGTGTGTGAAGCTAATTCAAATTTCCAGCTTACAGGCTTTTTGAGCCATATTACTTGCATTATATTAATTAATGTCATTCATCCGCAAATTATTATCTTTGCGTTATTTATTTATTTATTTCTCCGGGAATAATTGGAAGTTGGTTAATTTTCACTTATTCTGGTTGAAATGAAGATGATCATGTCAGGTGCTAAACCAGAGTAGAGAGAGGAGATTTGCTGAGGCTATGAATATCTTTGAAACTTGTGGTCTCAATTTTTTGAGTGTGGGTCCTTCTACCTATAACAATGACACTGAAATGTGGGAGAGAGATTAATAATCACATTCACAGTCACCAATCTTCTTCGACAAGTTCAATTTCGCTGATAATGCATGCCCACCAACCTACCATTATTATGGCCTACCGTCACATGTATGGAATAATAACATAGTTATAGGTGTATATATAATTTCTATATCAGGTTTTCTTTAATTTAATCATGTCAAGGATAGTAATGAAACTAGTAGCTTCGGTTAAGTTCACTGCGAAATTCTTCCAACTCTAATGGTAGTGTGATCAGCTAGACATAAAACTTTCATTGACAAGACAAGACCATAGCGATTGAAAGATTCTTTACAAAGAATTCTTCTGTTCCTTTTGACCTGGAGCTTTGAGCACGAGTCCAAAAGGGATACACCATTAGAGGTTACTAAAAGTATTAATTACTTTTACTCCTAGTACCCTCAATTACACACACACACACACACACACACACACACAGAGAAGAGAGAGATCACTAATTTAATAAACTTTATTCAGAAAGGGTAATTTTGGAGAACTGATTGAAAATATGGATATATTTAATGAGAGCAACTAATTTTAACTAGATTTTTTGATCTCTGTGAAAGTTGTTAAACATCTCTTATAAAAAGGACCAGGGATAGTAAATAGCAGAAATATTTAACATAAATAACACTGTCTGAAGTGTAATGATTAAAATGGCTAGAAGAGATGATCACTGGTAAATAGCTTGATGATTATGGGATGTCTGTTTTGGTCACGATGTGCCGGTGGATTTAGAAGAGAAGTTAATGCAGATATGGTGGTGAGCTTAATGCATCTTCAAGTTAGTGAATTTTGGAAGAATAAGGTGAAAGGTGGTCAAGTGTGCAGGAAATCTTGGCCGGCTCCATTAAAATCAACAGTGATGGATCATTTTTTCAAAAGAAGGGCAAAGCTAGTGTTAGAGTGGTTTGTAGGGGTCACAGTGAGAAGTCTCTTGGAGGTTTAGGGAAGGCAGTTGCAGCTAAATCTCCTTTAACGGCTGAATGTATGGCATTAGGGGAGGCTTTGAAGCTAAGGGAGAAATTTGCAGAATCTCATGTATATTTTGAAGTTGATTGTGAGGTTTTACATTAATTCATGATTATTGGCCCTTTGATTGGTTGCGATTGGCAATGATTTGAGCTAGTACAGGATCTTATTGAACTCAAGAGTACATGGCAGAATGTTTCTTTCTCCTTGGTCTCTAGACAAGGGAATTCAGCTGCTGATATTTTGGCAGTCAATTGCAAAGGAGATGTCCCATGCTGTTTGGCTGGACCGGATTCAATCTCCTTTAATTGATGTGTTGAGACGTGGCTTCTTAAGTTCTGAAATTTCTGGCTTTAAGAGAGTATGAGTTGGCCAGTCCTTGTTGTTTGCTCTTCTTTTCTGGTTCTGTTTCTGTTTGTTGTTTTTTGTATCTGGTTTTTTAATTTTGTTTGCGAGAGTGTGTTAGTTTGTATAATAGGTTATTTTTGGAGTGTTTTTTCTTAGCTTCAGCTATTAATGTTTGTACTATTTTTTGATGATTAATAAAATTGTCTGTTTTGGGAAAGAAAATAGTATACTGATTAAAATAGTGCAACATCCTCCAAGAGCACTTCAAACAAGAGATCATTTCCCGTAGTATCCAGCGTTCGATACTATTTGCAATGGTATTAAAAGCTATTTGCTATGTAAATGGTAATAAAAGCCATGGCACCTGACAATAATATTCAATCATCCTGCTATACTTTTGAGATGTCAGTACCCTCTCAAAATGCGCATTTAAAAAAAAAACAAAGAAAGAAAATTTGGAGTTTTTCTGTTCATAGATAGTCTGTACAAGAAGAAAGAAAATTCTTAAGCAAATCCAGTTAATCATGAATCCATACACATATATAGATATACTATAAGCGGAAAATCTACAGTGGCAGCAGAGCTGCTGGCTAATGTAATCTTTATTCTTAAAGCAAAACTGGAATATTAACATAGAACAAAGAAAATGGAAGAACACGTCAAAGAAAGATGTAAACTTGTTCATAGCTTGAAGCAAATTTTGAAGAGTTGAATGTACCAGAATCTTTACATTTAAGGGAGAGTAATCATACAATTCTAAAATTTGAGCAACTTGTAACTCCACATGCCACTTTTCTGTTGCATCACACAGGGAACTAGACGACAAATAAAACACTGGGCACAAGTCCTAGGTGAAAAACAGAGAGCACAGTGATAAATCCAGATGTAACATTTGAACAGCCTAAGGAAACATGCATGACTGATCTCTTAAACGGTACTTCTTACAGGTAGAGAGCAATTCAGACGAACCTCACCTTGAGTGCCAGTCAAAACATCTAGATTAGACATTTTCAGCATGACCCTAGCAAAATCCATGCGAAAAGTTGATCCATCATCTGAGGCATAAGCAGAAACCAGTCTAGCAGTCTTCTCTTGAGCCATCAGCTGCTGATCAGCGTACAGAAGTCCTCTTCCCTTAGCAAGCTCTCATAGTAGTGTGTGTCAAATTTTGACCCAGATGATACAGAAGATGACAATGCTTGCAGGTATGACATTCCCAGATCAGACTGACTCATCCTCCTGGAGAAGAAGGAAGCTGACACCTTCTCATCGCTGATGTTGATGTTGTCAGGGCAATTTATTCTCATCTGATGCAGGAAATCAGAAGGGATAGAAGGGTCTGGTCTTCCTGTGCCATGAAAGTTGTACAGTCTTTGCTTGATGAAATCACAGCCAATTTTCCAATGTTGTGTGCTCCTACAAGATAAGAACAAAACTTATGACTAATATCCTGTTTCAGTTCAGAAAGATGTAGACTCAAGAGTATTTTTACCAAGAAGGCTGACTGTTTCTCTTTCATCGAATCCTCTAAGAGCGAATAGCCGTAGTGTTTGGTTAATGTTATCATCAGGTCTTGGAATCTGATTATTTGCTTCCTCATAAAATGATTGAAAGCTATCCTTTCTTCCTGTCAAAACCGGATAAAAGGGCCCGCCAGCCTGCAATAGCCAAGTCCAGAAACAAGATCAGAGCTTCAATGCAGAACTTCAACAAATGTCAGATATCAAATATTTCAAAGATTTGCTGCATCCTCCGAGAGCAATAAAAGCATGGCTGCATGCTTGTACAAATGCTTAAAAACCTTGAAGGTAACAATATCAGATTTGAACGTTTGAACACCAAAAGTATGTCTAAATAGTAAGATTCATAGACACATACGGAAAAAATTAGCGAAAGACATATTTGCTAAAAGTGCCAAAGTTAAAGAGATCCTAAGCTAATCAATGTCAAGGGTAAAACATAAAAACTATAACAAGTTGCATAATTGATAGATCATGAACAATGTAACTTATTTTTCAAATGTTGTGCAATGGACAGAATAACATGTCTGGTTTTAAGTTGAAAGCAATTGCGAAGAGCTATTCATCACATGATTTTTCAAGACAAAGATTGTTTGGATGAAGGTAACAAGAAAAGGAAGTTGACATTACTATTTGGCAAGTAGAACATACAACATAGTGTGTCAGTAAACAATAAAAGCTAATGACAATAGTTTTCTGACTTTCAATTAAAGCCAAAATTGCATGAGGCAATTATCAACATATATCTCTCTGTTTTCTCACCAGTTTAGTCAGATTAGCAAGTAGTCCTTAAAATGTCATAAGATTTTGGAACTTAAGTGACAAATAAATAGATGCAGAGGAACAAACCAAAACAACGCCATCTCTTGCTGCAAGAGCAAGAATGTCAGCACAGGACACAACCCCGGGACATTTTTGTTCCAGCTCCTTCTTAATCAAGTCAATTTTATCGAAGCCTCTCAAAGTCTGGTTTGGAAGAGCCTGTTTCTCAATCGATCGATTTTTGATACCGTAGCTATCATTCAACAATACTGAAGCATCGCAGCCCTGATTTTGACAAAACCGAAGACACCAAATTATGGCCATATCAAGTCAAGAACAGTCAACTCAACCATATTCAGGTATTCACAATGATCAGTAAAATAGAGATGACGGCCCGATTAAAAAAAAAACTGAAGAATTGAAAACCATTGAGAAACGCATAACAAATGGATATCCAGGAGAAAAAGAAACCTCAAAACCTCGAGAACGATAATATATCGACACAGTAGCAATGAAAATGAAAATCTTCTATACATCAGAAGGGTGGACACTGAATCAAGAACCATTTAAATTCAGATAGAAAATGACAGAACTCATGATCTTGAAAGAAAAACAGAACAGACCGATTTAAAAAAATGCAACATTTGTGCGGCAAAGAATACCTCAATGAAGCAGTCATGGAAAAAGAGACGCAAGAGAGCTGGTGAAGCGTCCTTGTGGTCGAGATAGATTCGAGTAACAACTGATCTCACGATGCCCTCAGCTTGTGGGCAAGAATGCCGGTAAAAGTCATACTCTAAATTGGACCCATCTCGTATCCTCTCATTGAAAAGAAAACCAAGGGAGGTCTCCCTTGAAGACAGTGAAGGTATTGAAAACGAGAAAGGCGAAGAGAAATTAACCGAGGCGTGTTGAGTTTCACCTCTTGGGTTCCTGAGAGAGAGAAGCACAGGAATCAGAAGAACCAAAGCAATATAGACACTGAAACAGCTCGCCATTTCGGGTTTAGGGTTAGTGCTTGTTTACGCAAAACCCTTTAATTTCTTTCTTCAGAGAAAGAAGCTTGATTTTGTGAAGAAGTAGAAGAAGAGGAATAAGACGAAGAAGAAGCGGGAAAAAGTTAGCAGGTTCTAATAATAACTGAATGTACATTTTCATTTTATCGTTAGCGTCTCGAGTCTTGACGAGCGAGAGATCAAAAGACAAAAATACCCTCAAATTCATGGACTGAGAAAGTGCAAGTTGTTATTATTATTTTTTGGACCACCAGAGAAAGCGTGAGTTAAAATATAAAAATAATAATATAAACAAATAAGAAATGACCAAAAGCACGACTAAATATAAAATAATTTGTGTGTATATCAGTTTAAAATTTGCTGCAAGTCTCGCTTGTTAAAAATTATAAATAGTATGATTTCTTCTTAAATTTTAAGGTATACAGACTTAGTTTAAAGATTAAATTATAATTTCATAAATTTTCTTATTAGAAGCACTTCACCGATTAAAAACAAGTTTTAAAATGAAAAAATATCATTCAAAGACCATTAAGTGTATTTAATATTAATTAAAAATCAAAATATTCTGAAATATCACTGTAAGATTGGGGACTAATTTGAAAATAATTTTAAATAAAAAGACTATAATACTCTTGACTTTTTTTTTAATTGACAAATAACTATTTGTGAATTGATAAGTATCTATTCTCATTTAATAAAAAATCATTCGCTAATTAACAAATTTAAGAATATAAAAAAACTTGGTTTTAGGAAGGAATAATTGTAGACTATATTTTAACAACTAAACATTCATTAATTAACAAGTATCTATTTACATTTAATAAAAATTCATTCATTAATTGACATATTCAATAATATAAAAGAAATTGATTGTGGAAAGAAATGGATGTAAATCATATTTCAACAAGTAATTATTTATTAATTAACAAGTATCAATTTACATTTGATATGAAATTATTTGCTAATTGATAAGTTTAAGAGTTTGAAAAAAAAAGGGTTATAGGAAGAGACAAGTGTAGATTATATTTGAATAAGTAGTCATTCGTTAATTAATAAGTATTTATTTGTATTTAATAAAAATTATTCACTAATTGATAAGTTTAAAAAAAAAAAAGATATTATAATCTTTTCCATCTAAAATTATTTTTATAATTTTTTTATTCTTATTTGATATTAAATTACTTTCATGATTCACACACACATTTTCAAGGACTCATGCCTTAAAAAAGTGTGTGTGTATATATTAGATAATAATTATAAAAATTGTAATTATTAATCAAGTCATTCATCAAAGTCTAAAAAGATTTACTAACAAATTTGATAGTAACTTTCATTTCAATTGGATAATTGCAATTTAAAAAAATTGTTTAATGGAAATGTTTTGAGGAGTTTTGGTACTTGTAACTTCGCCAACAAATAAACACCCCCATGCATATCATACATGTTTGTATTTATGTCTGTAACTGAGTTCACATATTAGAGGAGAAAGATTGCTGCTGAAACTGAACTAGTGAGAAATAATCACGATGAGACGCAAAAAGGATCGCCGGAGAGGACCCAAGTATGTTTATTCTTATGGCGGAGGAGGCAGTGGTGCTTGCTTCAGGAACAGATTTTCTCGCCAAGATGCATTTCAGTTGCTTCTGGGAGATGTATTCCAGAAACGAGAAGAAGAAGTAGAGGAGGAGGAGGAGCAGCAGCAGGAGGAGGAGGAAGAAGGAGGAGGAGGAGCAGCAGCAGAAGAAGAAGAACAAGAAGAAGAAGAAGAACCACAGACGCATCAAGTAACTGCGGAGAAAACAATAACCTCGGTTCATCCTCGATTTCTATCTTTTCTGGAGAAAGATGACTCCTTTCTTTGTCCTTGGAACTGGTGTCCCAACGCATCACAAGATGAGGCTTCGAGGAAGGAGACAATGAAGCAGTACATGCAATTGCAACCAGGATCATTTTTTCTTCAAGCGAGGTCTCTGTTTTTCTTCTTTCTTGATAGGTTTTGCTGTGTGATTTTCAGTCACCTTGTTCTGTTACAGCAATTATTTTCTTTATCAAAATACCAAGTTTTGTCAATTTGGAAAATTGTTTCATGCAAATTTACAAAGCTGTATCTGTCATTTCAAGATCTGAATCAATTCTTTGCCAGAAAAGTGGGGGTGTCTTTTTGTCACGTTCTTGTTTCTTGATGGCATTTCTCTGGTATTTCAGAATCAATAATTATTGTTAAACCGATGCTTCTTTGAGCCAAGGAAAAAGAATTCATTCATAGTAACACTTTCTTTTACATTGTTCCTTTCAGGTTATTTGACGAAAGGCAATCTGACAAATGAAAAGAAGGCTTGATGATGTTGGCAAACAGATTGGCCTGATGATGTTGAAAAAATTTCTTCCATCTCCCTAACATTGTGGATAGTTGTTTCTACTGTTTGCTTTTTTCCATCTATCTTGATTACAATGTGGATAATTGCTTCTTCTGTAAGCTGCTTATTTTCCAGCTAGGTTTCATGAGTAAGGTTTTTCTGTATTATATTTAGATTGATACATCTTGTCTACATGCTCCTCGTGACTAAATAATAGAAGATCTTAAAAAAAAAAATTTGAGGCACCTTGCTCAGATGCTGTTTCAGAAGCAGGATATACAGATGCTGTCATATGAAGAACTGGATAATAATGAAAAAATGTACAATGCAATGAGATTTTTTTCCCTATATTTAATAAACTTCACAATTTGAACACCATAAAGGAGATGTTTTCAAGGGTGTTGAAGAATTTACACATACGTCTAATCTATTACGAAATAGCGCTTCATTTGTCTTTAATAATACAGGGAGAGGAAAACACACCCCCATTTCTACACAGCGTTTATGCCTAGGTTTGATTCTAGTCTCTAAGCTAAACGAGAAATACTGCGGGAATTCTTTTACCTCCTTCAAATCTCTCCCCATTTCCACCACAAAGTACTTGTATTTAGGCTCCAAGTTGTTCTTAATACTATAGTTAAACAGCTGAGGGAATCTTCGAAACATTGAAGTTGCATCACGGCGAGAAAAGCCGATATTCTCAAAGTAATCAATCCTGGGAATAAGCTTTTCTTCAACACTGCATGATAGTAAGTATGTGTGCCTGTTTACCTCTTCAATTCCAATGCTTTGGAGAAAGTACAGGGTGGGACGAAGTTGCTCGGTGACACTGCAGACAAGCAACCTGGGACGGCGGTTTATGGCATGCTTGATATCTGAACCATTCACACAAGCTTCACGGAGAAGGAAGGTGAAGACAGGTAAGATATCTGATACTCTGGAGGTAAGAATCTCTGGGCACATGCCCACAATTCGTCGGAACTCAATTGCAGAGAAATCCATGGATGTCATGAATTCCACAGTGGATTTTATATCAGGAAGAGAGGAGGCAGAGATCACAGTGGGATGATTTTCAATAAGTGAGAAAGAGTCAATACCAATGGACTCTAGATACAGGACTTTCTTTTGGAAATCAGTGTCACAGTTGGGCGGGAGAATTTGCTTTGGACATCGCCACTTTATAACCTGAAATACAACCAAGCATGGCAAATTTTAAGTTAATGGTACTTTATCCCTCAATCCAGATGCAAGAAATGAATCAGATATCCTAGTAATGAAACTAAAACACATCACAACTTCACAAGAGACTAGTGTGGGCCAGAGAAATTGTAATATTGACACATACAGGTTTTTCTTACAGATGAAATTGGGAAAAATAGTACTTCCTGTGGTTCTAAATATATGACCTAGTTAACTAATTCAGAGATTAAAGAAATTGGTTAAGTTAGTTATTTGCCACTATTGAATAAAAAATGTGCGTCAAATTTCCTAAAATACCCCTCTTTTAATGAGGCTATTAAATGTGGAAGACAGAGAGTGAGAAAAACAGTGAAATTTTAAATAAGGGAGACAAAGAAGATTAAGGTCCTATATTTAGGACCAAAACAAATCCCTCAACCATATCTTATATTTAAGACCGGAGGAAGTACCTAAGAGTTTGGTGCGAAATTTGAATGCAAGTTTATGTTCCGAGAAATGTAAAGGAGCTGAGATGCAATCAAAGGTCATTCAAGAAGTGTATATTTCACCTCAGAAAATTCATTACCTTCTTATTTTTATGATTAAACTCGATTAATTTGTGGGAGGCTAGAAGTATTGATCATATTCATATCAAACAAGATATTTTAAAAATTTAAATTCAGACATCCACCACACAAGCTGTACTCCCTTATGCTTTCACCTTTTTTCCTATAGTGAGAATCCTTTCTGCAATTGAATTTAAGTTTTCTACTGTCTATAATAAATATTGTGAAGTCATCAATGGAAATGCCATCCCCCATCCAAAGACTAAGGATTGAGCTAAATTCAAAAGCATTATGCTTAGATAGTAAATAGCAATTGCAAACAAAATGTTCTACATTCAAGTAATTTCAACGTAGCACAAGCAACTTTCTCGAAATGAAGATTGAAAAGTGGTTGAATCTCTTGTGCCTTCGGTTAAACGTACATAAGATAAACATTGCAGCCACCAGAAACAATTCTTACTCCCAGTATTGCAACTTTAATGGGAGTGGATAAGCATTTTCAATGCAACCAAACGGTCAAATTGAGACACACAACAAAAATGAAAGAATATCATATTCATCCCATGACAAAAGATATCCAACTCAAAGAGACAATACAGCCAAGGAAAACCAACAATGCGTCAAGAAACTTCTATAGTTACAATTACAACTACGCGAAAAAGGGGGAAAAACATTTTCCTGTAAAAATTGGAACTTGAGGGTCATTATACAGAAACAAGCAGCAATCAATAAGTGGGAGTTGGGAGAAAGAATCACCGTAGCCTTGACGAAGAAGCCTCGACGACGAATCGAAGTGGGAACTCGAGAATGGAAAGGTTTGCAGAGGCCACTGAAGGATTTGGGGACGGCGGGACATTGAGAGAGAGGAGAGTGATGATGGTGATGATCGGAGATGATGGAAGAGAAAACCCTAGGGTTGGAAGACAGGAGGGTTGAGGTGGAGGAGGCCATAGGAGGAGCGTGCTTGGGGTATGGCATGAATGTGATAGAAGGAGGCGGCATGAGAGAGAAGAGGGGGAGGGGGGAGAGAGAGGGATGAGAAGATAACGGAGGAGTGCGTGGCAGCTCTGGTGGGGGCAGGGCGTGCATGCACAACCAACACACTCCATACACCTGGCGCCCTGCTCGATTACACTTTGCCATGTAAGAATTTTTACCTGTCCTCTTGTGACCTCCCAAATGGTCCGTCTGTTTCGTGAGAAAATTATTTTAAAAAATATTTTCTCGTTTCTTTGTTATAAGATAAGGTTATCTAGTTTAATGATTCGTAAAAAAAAAAGTGCTTAATATTTTTAGAATTGAAACAAAATTACTTTTAATAAAAGAATAACTGTGAGTAATCAAAGTAGTTAATATTTTTAAATTTATAAAAAATGTGTGACTTTTTTAGTTTGCCTTCATTGAAATTAATGGCAACAATAAAACATATTAAGATATTAAAAGTTTGCCGACAACTTGATGCAATTAAAGAGAACTAATGTTGAAAATAAATAAATTAACCATTACATTTCACCCCATATTTAGAATTAAATAGAGCTTTAAAACTTTATCCTATAATTAAGTTCACAAAATAGACTCCATAGCCTAGAGTCTTTTGGATCAATAGCAAGTCATATATCCTTGAAAAAGAGATGTTAATGAGTTTTATATACCATGTGATGAAGATGTAGATGTGTGAGTGCAAGATTGAATTTGCAAAAAAAATATCATTATCAAGTTCTCCTTAATGAATTAATAAGTAAGCATTACTAAAATATTAAGTTATAGTTTTAGTAAGTGTATTTTAAATTGTAACAAGTTAAAAAGATTGAATATACTAAAACTTTTGTTAACAAGTCACTCTTAATAAATTAACAAGCAAATATTACTATAATGACAAGTTAGCTCTTAACAAGTCATGTCCATACTAATTTTTCATAGCAAACCTGTGTAAGCATGTTATTTCAGTAACATTTAATTGTTAATTCACAAATAAGAACTCATGAAAAATATGAATTTTCAAACATTCTATTTTATCATTTAACTTGACAAATTAATAAGTAAAAGTTAGTGAATTAACAAGTTCAATTAAACTTTCAATAAGTCCACCTCTTATAATAACTTACTAAGAAATAGGTTTGAAAATATGGTTTGATTGTGCGTATAATTTTATACATGACACGATTGAAGAGATTAAATGGTTTGGATATCAATAACATTTTATTGAGCTAAAGAATCATGGGTTCAACCTATCATTAACTGTCTTAAAGAATTAATTCTCTAATCTCTCTTACCGTGGGATTTGACAGTCTATGATAATGGAGCTCTTGTCATCATAGTGCTAGCAACAACAATTGATTGATTTTCTTTTTCTTTTTAATAAATGAAAGCTATTTTGCTCATTTTTTATTGAAAATAATTTTAATTTAATCCTTTAATTTTACACTTATATTATAATTTTAAAATTTTTTATCTTTATTTTAAATTAATTACATATCAGGGTAGTTCATTGAAATTCTTCCTTCTAAATATATTGGGAGGTTAAAAAGAAACAAAAACTTTTTTATAAATAAATTTTGCAAATTTAAAAACATACAACCAACTTTCTTAACCTCGAGTGTAATTGAAATTTTATGTGACATTTATTTTTAATAAAAAAACATCCAAAAATCTCTCAAAACAATGTCTGAGCTACAATAAATGGTTTTAAATTTGTAGAAATAGAAATAACATTTCAAAAGCAAAAGAAAGCATTGCATGCCATTGAGGCTAATCAAAGCATTGTATAGGAAGGAAGAGGACGTCACTTGACCATCCAAACACGACTGCAGCTTTGTCGCATAGAGGAAAGACCACTCCTGAATGGAGACCACTGCCCTCTTCGCACAAACTAGAGACTCCTCCAAAATGGAGACTGCCAGCCATGGCAATCGGTACCTACGGTAGCTGCGTCACATTCGTCGTTTTTAGGTGGAAAACGCCACCCGCTACAGCCGCCGTACCAGTCGTCGTCTTGTGCCTCCTTTTAAGGTTGTTGTTGTTGTTGTCTCTTTCTTTTATTCTACTTCTTTGTTGGCCTAATTTGTCTCTCAGAAGTTTGAGGGTTTTAGATTCTCCCCAAAACTCCACCGTAGTACAATTGGATATTGAAGATGATATTTGTACTCGCAAAAGCTCACAATGGCAGGGAATAGATGCATTCAACAGCTACTCGATATTCTCCAACCACCAAACCAGAGGCTTGTTTTTCATCTTCTGTACGGAAATGGAAAGCTTCCCCTCCACTTCCTAATCTTAGATCCTTCTTTTTTTTTTTTTTTGGTAGAAGGATCTCAGAGATTTGATGATAGGAAGTTCACACCGCAAGTTCTCGCTTTCAACGTGACATGTAGCTTTGAAAATGTTTAACTTTGTTGTAAAACAGAGTTCCTGGTTTGGCACCATGGCATTTTGATTATGCGGTTAACTCAACAATGGATTCTACTCGTGCGATTCTAAATGCCAGTGCTAGTCTGATAGTGCCATCGACTGTGTCAATTTGCTTTATGCCGACAGGGCTAATTTTGAGTTGTAAATTTGGGATATTTTGAGTATAGTTTGATTAAGGAGATATATAGTGAAAATTGTTTTAGGAATTCATTTTTTCACATGTCAGAGATGTTCTCATGATTGCGTGCCTGTTTGGATATGTCAATAGAATTGATTATTAATTAGTACAGAAACCACATTTTGATCAAAATTATCCAAACGCTTCCTATAATAATCAGGTTGAGGAGACACGTATGTTTAAAAATTTGTCAGACTTATTTATTGATAAGTTCTTGCCTGGGATCTATATGTAATTTTACCAAAGAAGTTTCTATTATTGCAAAAGTTACACGCTTCTCTTGCAATTTTGTGAATGTGTCATGTGTGCAGTCGCGCACACGTGTATCGATAGCTTTCCTGTTGGCTTCTGTTTCTGACGGCCCCCCAGTCTCCAGAGTTCATTTCTATTGGTACGGTCGCGGATGAATACTTGCGAGCGACTTCGATAAGAAAATAGGTCGGCATTTTTGTTGAAAATCCTCCGCTCTGAAGCTATCCTTTCCATTGCGTAGCAAATTCTCTCCAAGCTGCGAAGAAAGCACTGATGGGAAGCGATAGGAAGTCCAAGGAGAAGAAGAAGCGAAGGAGTTATACTTCAGACTCCGAAGGTACCTGATCTGCCCTGTTTTTCTCCTTTCCTATCTGTTATTCAACGTGTTTGGCTTTCGGAAAAGCGGAAGAAACCTTACGAAGCAAAATACCCATTTCAAGGGTTCCAAAATCGGACCTTTTTCAGGCGGCATGATGACATCCCACTTGGAAGTTTTTCGTGCTTCCATTTACTTTTTAATAAATTATAGTGGTAATACCCAGATGGAAAGAAAAACAAGAGGAAGCGAACCGCGGAGGATGAGGAAAAGAACCGGAAGGGAGAAAAGAAAGAGAAACGCAAGGAGAAGAGATCTCCTAGGGATTCCAGAGATAGATCTGACAAAGGTAAGCATGAAAAATTTATCATTTCTCAATGATGCTTTATACGGTCTCTGAAGAATAGTTAGATGTGGGAAATGTTCAAGCATTCAACTTTATTTACTTTTATCTTTTTGTATCTCACTTACCAAGTTGCTCTAGCTTTGTCATTAGTAAAACTCATCCACTACTATTCTCAATTTATTTTGGAGTTTCTGTCATGAATCATGAGATGCTGGATATGATAAGTTTTATTCTGGTTGGACAAGAGACTTACAGGTCTTTGTTTCTGTTAATCTGCTGCATTGATATTAATCTGAAAACTAGAAATATAATGAATGATATCTTCAGTCTTACATGAAGGTATTAATCAACGTGCTTCATTTGTGAGGAGTTACATAAGTCTATTCTTTGTCAGTACTGTTACATGGGATTAGTTAGTAGTCTGCTAGGAAATAACGTCTAGGAATTCAGTTAGAAGGAATTTAGGGGACTTGCATCCCTTGCAGCATCTAAGGATGGGCTGTGGTAAATGGTTTTATGATGAATAAAGAGCAAACCTGTGTGATCAATTAGCGTACCATATTCTTCAATGTAAATCAAGTGACAGGAAGGGAAAGCCCTATCAGTTATCAATTTGGCGTGAAAGTCTTGGAGATTTACAAGCTTGAACCGGTGCCATTAGGAAGCAAGACAACATGTAGACTAGTTGCCCACGGTGCCATCCTGATTTCTGAGGTCCCTGACTTCTGGTCTCATGTCTTAGAAGCCATGCTAATAATGTTGTGTGTGACTTTTAACTTAATATCAAATTGTTTTTTAAAACGTATGTGAATCTTAGAAGCTATTTAAAATTATCATGAAAACCATTTCTAGTTCTATACTGTAGAACCTTGCACAAGTGGATGAAGGTGATCTTGTTCAGGCATCCTGCTGGGTCTTTGACATTGGATTAGACAATATTTTCATCTTCAGGTGTTTCACACTGCAACATGTTTGTAAAAGGGATGCCATAAAATTGTTGGGCGGGAACTTGGAAGCAAAGCCTAATGCTGATTGTTGAATCCTTCTCCATTGAAAGGACATAGTACTGAAATTGGCTCGACATCTCCCATGATTTCATTTGGTTTTCTATAAAGGATACTCTTGAAGAAGCAACAGGGCACCGCTGAGACCTGCTACCATTGCCTGCAACTATAACTGACATGTGAATTTTGACTGACACAAATGGTTTAATTGCTGCAAATCACTATTCTAACATTCGACTATGAAAATGAATCAACGTCCAGCAATTAACGTTTTTTTTTTTTGCTTTTGTTTTTGGGGTGTTTATTTATTTCCTTCCTAACATTGTTAGCGTACTCTTCCCAAAAGACATCTCTTCGTAATATTATCTATATTTTGACCTGAACCATTGCCAATAATATATTTACACGCTACTTTTCCTTCAGGGAAGAAGTCAAAAGATAAGCACAAAACCAAGCACAGTAAAGCTGATAGCCATATGGTTAGTTATATTCTTGAATCTTGATATTACTGTTACTTATAATGTCACCCTGGTTCTGCCAGGTTTTGTTTATTGCTGTTTATCTGAGAACCTATTTCGTCATTTAATGGGTTGAGAAAGAAGTTAAAGAAATAATGGTCATTTAATGGGTTGAGAAAGAAGTTGAAGAAATAATGGCCGGGCGCTAATAAGTAATAATCCACTTTAAACGCCTTTGGTTAGTAACCCCTTTTGGTTTCAATTTTGGTAATTAATCTACTTTAATCCTCATGTTGTGCGTTGACTTTTTCGTCATTAAGAAATAAATGAAACCAAGGAAAAAAGGTTAGTTGAGCTGGAGATTTAGTGGACTATAATGCATCAGGGGTGCGTAGATTAAATTTTCTTACTATGACTGTAATTGGCTATTTGCCAAATGTTGAAAGTTTAAGCAGGTTAGTTGCTTACCTGGAAACTATATGGTTATTTGCCATGCAACCAACGTTGAAGCGTGCAATTTATTATTTGACAAAATAAAAAGGTCTAGAGGAACCTCTTGCTGATTCCCATATATTGATGTCTACTTTTATCCCTTCTGGTTCAAAGCTTTGGTTGGTGATGAATTGAAGAATCAAATAGTTCATTGGTTGTATGGATTACCTTAATTATTTCAAATGCAGGATTTCCAAGAGTTGTCCAAGGATGATTACTTTTCTAAGAACAATGAATTTGCCACGTGGCTGAAAGAAGAGAAGAGTATGTTCTTCTCTGATCTGTCATCTGAGTCAGCACGTGAGATGTTCTCGGATTTTGTCAAAGCTTGGAATAGAGGAAAGCTTGAATCCCGTTACTATGAAGGTATTGCAAGTGGTCCTCGGACAGCTCACAACTGGAAAATCAAAGGGTAGCAGAGAAGAGGGACCTGTCACTGGGATTCAATCTCTTACCTTATTGGTTAAAATACTAGAGTGAATGTCTTGAAGTGAATCTAATGGAGAGAAAATTACACCTCTTGAGTGGTAGAAAGCTGTCTTTGGAATTACAGTTCTTTGTTTACTTTAGCTATCCTTTCCAGCTGCTAGCTAGAAACTTATGAAGTACAGATGTCGTAATTAGTAGAAATGAAATATCTGAATCAATCTTTGAGAATCCTTTGTTTGCTGCGTAGGACATTGTACTTAGTAGTAGTATTTCATGTTAAGTTTTTTTTTTTTTTTTATAGTAATAATAATGACGAATTCCTAGGTCACCTGGGTTGGTTATGAGTTGCGTCGCGAAAGCTTCACGAGGTAGATCCTTTGCTGCTGGAAAATGATAGCATATTGAAGCTATGATTATTTTAAGCAAATTTAGATGTTCTAATATGTACAAGGGATTGGGATAAAAGACAATTGCTGTTGATTGGATTAATTAAAATTTCTGCAGTGATTTTTGTTCTTTTTCTTTTTTGTTAGAACAAGTTTCTGTCGTGGTTAATGCAGTAAACTTATGGCAAAACGGAATCACTATAAATACATGAAACCTACTTGTGTATTTTGTATTATTCATTACATAATGACAATTGAATGAATTGATGAATTGTAAAAATACTATCTGAATTTTATTAAAATAAAATTTGACAGCTATTTTCAATTTTTTGTTTTTGGCAGTATTTTGTACAGAATGATGCTATATAGGATGGAAAGACTGCTGCATGGGGAACACAAGATTTATGATAGCATTCCTTGATTCATCTATTTACTTGTTAAGCACGATTAAAATAGCCATCCCCAAGTCCTTCATAAACAATTTAAAACATAAAAAGAGCCAACCCCAAGTCCTTCATAAATTCTTCACTTTCGAATAGGGCAAATGTTTGACGAGAAATAGTTTCCTGAGTCGGTAGTTAAATATATATATATATATATATATTTAGATATAGATGCATTCAGCTCGACATTAAAAGGCATCAATAGAAAACAGCAAATCACTCTAAGAACAATAGGGTTACAACAATTTTCAGTAAGTAGTCATTGATAATCACATCAAAGCTTTTGTTTCAGGTTTATGGAACACTCGAGAACTTGGGGAAAAGTTGTGTCTAAGAAACATTGCAGTCTACAACTGAAAAGTCACTACTTCCCCAAACTCAAATACACCGCTGGTATCAATAGTCTCTCCACTGGCTTTGATTTCGGTCTAAAGTAACTCCAATCTCCAATCTTCACAGCAAATTATTCCACTTCACCCAAGTAATCATCAATTTCAGCTGGTGTCAATACCCTGCAACACAATAAATTTCCCAATGTATGATTGTCAGCAGATCTGAGTAGATCCATATGCGCGCGGACATCACTCTGATTGAAACATATCTTTAAATCAGATAGATCTAAGCTTTTTTTTTTTTTTTGTTGGGTTATGGAAATTATCTTGTGGTCGAAAAATATTCAGAATTTTCCAAGTCAGATTCCTATTGAACAACCCTATGATCTAGTTAAATGTGCCTCTCAAGTCAGAAGACCAGAGGATTTCACGTTCACAAATAAATAGGGATAGACAAACAAAACAAGTCCCACTAAATTAGGTTAAATCAAAGCTACAAGATGTAAAACACAAAATAGAAAGAAGTTGCACCTGAACTTTTTGTCTGCGCCAATTATGCCAATTTCAATATTTTTGCCAGATATTTGTCCCTCAAACCTGGAAGACACGGGAAAAACAAAGAATTTCATCAAAAAAAAGAAAGAAATTTCTTAGACACAAGAACTGATGTTGTATTCACCCATTTCATATTGGTACTGGTACATGTACAAAATATATATAAATAGAATGTATATAATATGTATACTATTAAATAAAACATGGAAACACTTACAAGGTAAATACAAAGGAATTAGGCAATAAAAACCTATTATCAATATTACCTTCTGAGGCCCCCCCCTTTTTTTTAAACTTAGTAACTTCCAGAGCATTTCCGGCAATGCTCTACAAGGTAATATGTTAAAAAAGAGGTCTAGGAAGGCATTTGTGGCTGCAAAAGAGCCTTTTTCACAATTAATGCACAAAAAATGAAGCCCACCCACCACCAATGTAAATTATATGTTTGATGCCACCGGGTGCAAACTCTGTGTGTGTGTGTGAGAGAGAGAGATGAGAATGAAGGATACTAGAGTTGTCTCATTTAAAGTTCCTTTTTTCTTCCTTTTTTGGGTAAAATAGAAGATATGTAACCTGCATGTAAATGTCCAGCTCATAGTTTAGAGATGTATCGTTGGTAATTGCACAAAGATCCCCACTATCAATTTCTCTTAGACAACTAAGATGGTGTGGACCTTGAATAGTCCTTATCTAAATGTAATCAACCAATCTTTGACACATTCCTTCTCCAAAAACTCTAGCTCCAAAATACTAGAGCCTGATACGTATTATTCTGTGGTGGGGGAAACTTAATTTGAGAGAAAAACGAAACAGCAAATAGACATGAAATGTCTTTTGGACCTAACGGATGGTAAAATTAAAAAAAAAAAAAATCAAAGTGACTTGCTCCTACCCTTCCTTCAGAGTCAATATGGCTGTGTGGACAGCATCATCAAGCTCCATATCCTCAGTGTATCTGCAAAATGAGCAATCAACTCTTGAAACAAGGGAAAAGATCTTAATGTGCGGTAAAACAAAATGTCATCTTCAATTGAAAATGTTATTAGAAGTGTTCACAGTTATGTTATAGAATTCTTTGCACATTTTATATGACAAATCATGAGAAAGATCAGTTATGCCCAGTATCTACAGAAGTAAAAACTACAGAACTAAATGGACAACACTGAACTCCGTATGCAGAATTGTCATCAACGATCAAAGCTTACCTCTTCTCAAGAAAAGTCTTTGCATTAGAAACATTCTTCCCCATAGCAGACGCTTTCCAGGAAAAATATGAACCCGATGGATCCACCTATTTTAATTGAATCAAACAACAATTTTAATTTCTTCCTTTATTTTCTCTTATGTATGGTAAACCAAAGTAATTCATTTAAATAATTTCAAGCGCATGAAAAAGAGACTCAAGTGCAAGCTTATCATGGACACAATTGCAGGACAGATAGAAAAAAGCACAACTAGTTTTCTGGGGAAATCCATTTAAATTTAGACAGAATAAATTATCAAAGAATAGTTTTCAGTTTTCATTCTGAAGTGAAAAAATCATTAACTTGGGTAACGAAATTATGAACTTCCAACAGGTTACATTGGTATCTTCAAGAACCGAGGAAGTATCAATTCATGTTACCAGTAACCGAATATTTGTTCTTAGCTTATTTCATGCACAACACACACGCACATGTATGTATATTGCAGTACACAATCTTGTTGAGTTCAGTCCCTAATGCAGAAGCAAGACAAAGCAATACAACCTAAATTGCAGTTAATAACAGGGATTGAAAAGCATCAGCAAAAAAAGTTCCATTCACATAAAGCATATCAATATACCTGGAATAATTGTGGACCTTTATCGTCAAATCCAGCAACTAGAAGGGACACTCCAAATGGCCTGACACCACTATAAGGACAAAACAAAAATATCAAAATTCAAAAGACAATAAAGGGGAAAAAGGAAAAACCATAAAGCAATGAGTGGTCCTGTGCGTAAACTCTAAACCCATCCAGATTCAACACATTTTAGGTTCACTTGATTATTAAAGGTTTTGTTTTTGTTTTTGTTTTTCTGTGAGGGATTATTACAGGTTTATTTACTATGAAGATCCACCCAGTTGTCGCCAATGTAATTTCTGTAGAGCTGTAAGTTGTGAACATATGCCTTCAGGAGCAGTTTTCTTCCAAATCAAACTCAGGCTCAGATTAGATACACATGGATTTTTCACTTAGAAATATACCCTAAATCGTAGGGTTATTTTGAAAATAGTAACACCCTCAAAATTCATAATTAAATTTCAGCACTTGGTAATATTTGATGCTTTAAAAGATAGACTCCTAAAATAAAGGAGAAGCTACTGTTCTAGCAAATAACTGACTTGGATATTTTATTTTTACTATATCACCTTAAGTTACATAGATTAATGGTTAGAAAATTCAAGTGGTAAGGAAGACAAATTGCCGAACAGAAAGATTAGATGTAGCTATTGGGACTTCTCAAAGTAGAGGAGTCTGCTTGCCGAGAACTCAAAGCAGGCACTGTAAACTTTTCCTTTAATCATCCACTATATATCCCCACATCTGCAGTCCCCATTTTTCAAGGATCAGAAGGAAGGGAGAAGATGTGTCATGCAACATATTTCTAATACTACGAGTATCCTAGGTACAATGCAAGAGTAAATAAAAACAACCCACCCTTATTGTAAAAGTTTATTGAAAAATATATCTTAAAAAGAAATCCATAATTACCCAGATTGAGTGAACTCCTGCATAACAGCAGCAATTTCCCTTACAAGCTGAGTGACAGGGATTGGTTCCTGCAATGTTCCAGTACCATATAAGATCAAAGCCATACTTTCCCAAAACATCCATAACAGAATGTGAAAAAAGTGAATAGAAAGAAAAAAAAAACATGAGATTTTTAGTAATGAACGAAAAATATCTTAAAAGGAACATCTAATCAGATTATAAAAACCAACCATACTAAGCAAATCCTGCTTAACAAGATGAACGCAAGCAATCATTTATCATTTTCATTTTATTTCAACAAAGCCTTTCATCAAAATGCACTTTCTATATCCTTTTTTCTAGTCTACATCATGCAAATAAAGATACTATATATTTCTGCTTACTTTTTACTTGACAAAGAGTTATGCATAAGAAGCGATAAAAACATTTTTTGTGCTAAATGATGGAACAAGGATTTAAACCAAAGACCAATTGCTAACTATTGCAAATGCGCCACAAATAAGATTGAAACAATGGAATTCCTTACAATCCTAATTCCTAAGTTCCAAATGCAAGATATCATTAATGCCATTACTAATCCATCTGGTCAGGTCAAATATTATAATTATAAATGGAAAACAGGCGTGGAGTATTGATCAGTTGACTTAGAGATTGAATTAACATATATTGAGCTAAAAGAAAAACCTTACTTTATATAGCCGGTGATACTGCTCAGCCTGCTTCCTACTTTTTCGAACCAAAACCCGAAAGTCAGGACCCATGCCACTGAACAACAAAGCAAATTTTCCACAAAGCTCAATTGCAATGAAGAAGGATTATGGAGACTAATAAAGAAAGCTACTTCCAATAATGGAGCCCTCTTCTCTGTATAATTTCTCTCAAAGTAGCCTTCAACAATTATTCGGTTTCAGTGTACCCAGTAGAGAAGTGATTTTGGACAAGCTGTCATTAGCCTTCAGGATTGAAAATTATAAAAAACCTGATGTACTTAACGAATCTCAAATTTATGGGTTGAAGCACATAAGTTCCTCTCACACGAGAATACATTAAAATCACATAGCAGCCAGCAATGAAAATATTTTCCTGAAAACTATATATTTTATCAGTCTGCCAAATTGAATGTATGCTTTTGGTAGAAAACTGACTAATGTCAGCATAACTCAACAATCCCTCATTGCGCCACTTACAATCCTTGATGACAGTTGCACTCTATAACCTAAAAAATCTTAGAATCAAAGGATGCATAACTCACCAATGGAAACGCTTCATTTCTTTATTGAAATATATCTCATCCCATTCTCCTATCAAGTCTTTAATACACCAAGTATTGTTTTCCTATATATGCACAAAAGATTATTGTTTCCCTTAAAACATCATCCTCACTTCTCTCAAGAAGCTGGTTTGTCTAAAAACTCACTAGTTCACTTTGTGTGTGGTTCCTGACAACTCATGATGTCTTTCACCTTCTAAAATACATTTGAAACTAATAGCCATACAATTCCATAATCTGAGGCATTTAATAAAGCACATAGATTCACACATGACTATATTGAAGTCAAAATGATTCAAGCATGTAGTGTGAAACACACCTATAAACAACACCGATATTTGGTGTTAATATCTGAATTTTCTGTACCTGCAACCAAGTAAAACAAAGATCCGAAATGCATCAAATTTTCAATAATTTAAGTAACAGTAACCAGCTAGCTTGAGATTAAATAATTCAATGAGAATGGATTACAATAAAAGCACCAACACAAGCAATAGCATGAAAGCTGAGAAAATAGGCAGCAAAGACACACGGCATATGGCCAGGGATAGAATAGGGAACTTATATAATTAAGGCACGATCACCAACAAAATGGGAGGCAAAGTAAGAGCAAATAAAAACTCACCGATGCTTCATCAACAAGTATAGATGGCAATTTCTTCTCTGTTGCAATGACAACACCATTTGCAGCTGCAAGAATCAAATAAATGGACTTAAAAACTACAAAAGCTACAGAAATTACATAAAAAAACTAATGATCTGCATGACACCATAACATACTGAATATAATATTTCAAAATATATTATAATATCTTTGTTTAAATACTAATTTAAAATGTTCCCATATCGAAATAATTTTCAATATATATATAAAAAAAACATCACATTTGAATTTCTTTTTCTAGTACTACACATTCTCGCCCGTTGGCGATGAGTGTTTCCTGGTTTTAACAAGAATATTATCACTAATCAAATGGATTCAGCACATAACAACACAAATGCTTGAGGCAGCAGGATAAGAATTATTAACAGATCCAGAGATAGCAATCAACACCTTTAATTCCGAGAGATGTTTGTCCAGAGCCAACAGCTGTCAGAGCATGTTCTATCTGAACAAGTTTTCCAGAAGGACTGTCGAACATAGAAACAGAATAATAAGACATGTGTCTGTGTGTTATTGCATCGTCATGTAAGCAAAATTCCATCAACCATACCTAAAAGTGGTCAAAGAGAATGAGTATTGACTATCGCCCATGATTTTGTAGAAGAAGCTGGCCAAAAACCAAAAAAAAAAAAAAAGAATTTGACAATTTATGAATTTTAACCGTGCACGATGGCCTATGAATACACCTAGCAATTAGCAAAATATCAGAAATCCTACACAGTGCAAAGAAAAGCAAAACCGTTGAATCAATTCATGATTACAGCAATGCCCAGAACACAAAAATCGCAGACAATAGACCAAAGCTGAAGAACATTTTCAGCTTAGCCCTTCATAATTGATATAGAGGAATGAAACTAATTAATAGTCGACGGATCAAAGCTTGGCTCCGGAATCGACACTTTTTTCGAACACTATGAGCACCGACCAGAATGTACCTTAATTAACCAGAGTGAGAGCAAGCTCGAACCTCAGATGTATGTCCGGCAAAATTGATCTTTGCTTTTTCTTCAGGGGTATTCGTCGGGGACAAGAAAGCGTAATTGCAATTGGGTTGGGCCTTTTAGGTTTAATGCTTTTTACAAAAGTTTCACGTTTTTGGTAGGAAAGAGGGCTAAGCCCAGTAGTTAAAACAAATTACTCAAAAAGGGGATTGAGGTCCAAGTACATCAGAAGCAACTAAACTCCTAACAAAGCCAGGAGCAACAGCAAATAAGGAAGAGTGGGCCATGTACAAAAGTTAAATTGAACTGTAGCCTATATAAGCTTTTGCAGTAATTAAATAAGCCCAATTATTCTCACTCAGGCCTCGGTTGGCCCACTCCATATGATTTTAGCCAAATTTTCATTTCCTTCAAATATTAAAAGAGTTTGGGAAATTTAATTATTACCCCTAATTAATTCGAATGCCAAGATTCATCAATAACTCAACATCTAGGGTGTTTATATCTATTTTCACAAATTACGATTTTATCTGTTCTTATATTCTGCTTAAAATAAATATTATTAATCAATTTTATAAACCAATGATTACCACATAATATAATCAATTATATCAATCATTTTTTCATAATGAATTTTTTTTCACAAATATCTAAAGTCAGAAATAAAGGTTAGGCTTGAAAGCCCTATTTAAATAAAGATTTGGGTTTTAAAAATAATTTTTTTTAAAATAACCAGACTTGAAGGTTTGACCCTAATAAACCCTGTAAAAAAAGATTCTACACGCATTTGAAACCAAGGACCTGCTCTATTAGGTTTGACCCTAATAAGCCCTATTATATTATTATTAATTTTTTTTGTGGAATATACATTTGAAACTAAGGACCTGCTCGTTTAAAGCCTTGATCCTACACACATTATATTATTATTAATTTTAATTTATTTTAAAATTAATTTAATATAATTTAATAAATATCATTGTATAGTATAAAATTTTTAATATTTTTTATTTTTCTATGATAATTATGTTTGTGTATTTATAAAAAATAAACTATTTTTTAATTAAGATTTAAATTTTATTACTAGATTTTTAAATGTGTGTTGTTTAATTTCTAAAAGATTATGAAGATTTCAAATTTTTTAATTTTAAAATATTTTAATTAATTTATAGTGCTTAATTTTACTTTAATTTTTTAAAAAATTTCAGAACAAGGCTTGTGGCCTTGGCCTTGAGTCCTTCAAATAAGGACCGAGCCTGCCTGTTTTTCAATTCTATAAATATCCAAACAAATTCAAAGTTTAAGGTAATTTATAGTGAAGTATTAAATTCTTAGAACATTGATGTTTTTCAACTCGTCCAAAGTGCCTGGACAATTGACATTCTAGAATAAACTGCCCCCCCCAACAAAAAAAACATAGTGATAACAAAAATCAAGACACCAATAAATTTATGCACAAATTATGGGAACATTTTAGCACTGCATAGTATTGATTGTAATGAAAAGGAATACTGCAAAAAAGGTTATGCATTTCCATGGTTTGAAAATACTCATTGCCACAACACAATTTGCTAAAATATCTCGCAGTTTTGACAGAAAATGTGGGAACTTCTCACCGGGTTTGTTGATCCCCTGTGGAATTTTGAAAATGTTGCCACAGTTTTTCAACTAATCATGGCTAATCCAGTTTTTTTTTTTTTTTGGTGTAGTGAAAATATCATCATGAGAAAATTTTAAAACTTTTATTTCAATCAACATCTATATTTTCAGTAGAAGTAACCTAAAGAATATTGATTTGAAAGAGACTTCATACTTCTTAAATAAGTTAGAGCGTTCAAACTTTGTGGATAAGAACCATACTAATAAAGATATTTAGGTTACACAATGTTTAAATCTGGATAAGTTGGTAATACCAAATACTAGATAGCTTGTTATCAAATTGGAAGTAACTAGGAAAACAATTATGGTAGAGAAGGAATATCAATTTTCATTTACTTTCGCGTGCTTTATTGAAACGTTAATTTCATGAAGTCATCACTCTTTGCCTTTGGAGGACATTTCTTTGCGATGTTACTGGAGAAACAAGGAAGATACATGAAAGCAAAGCATTTCTCAAATGAAAATATGGAGAACATAAATGAACACTTTTGCTAGTAAGATATAAGCATCGAAGATACATGTCAATCTCATAAATTAACCGTTGGAATTTCGTACTAAAGCATAAGCACCTCTAATGGTTTCATCTTGCTCTTACGTTTGAAATAGACAAACCATTCACTGAATGAGTTTCACAATCATTAGGATTTTGATGTTTCTTGTTGATCTTCATTCCACAGTAAAATGCTGGTCTTTTTGGGAAAGGAAGTGAAACAGCTTCATTTGTCAACAAGGCTATAACATCAGACATGGATGGACGATCTTCTGCACTTTGTTCTCCACATAGAAGTCCAACGTGGATACATCTTAATACTTGATTTGGATTGCGTGAATCTCTTAAAGTGGGATCAACCAAGTCTAGACCCTGACCTTCTTTCCATAGTTCCCAAGCCTGAGAGATGCAGAAAGATATGAAAAGTTATATTTGTCTAAAAATTTATGGTATGGGTAAAACTAGATTGATAAATTACTGAAAAATTTCTGCAGATGCTCTCCAACACCAAATCATGTTTGTAGAAGAAAGGGTAGGTGGGACCTAGTGGAACCCATCCAAGTGGGTCCCCCCCCCTCTCTATTTGCCTCTCTCACTAGAGACTCTTCGAAAAGGCAGAAAATCACAACTCTCCTGGAACATACCTTTCCTATTAGATTTAGTGGATGTTGGGCATTGTAGAAGCTGTTGTTTCTTCTACCACTAACTATTTCAAGTAGCAAGACTCCAAAACTATAGACATCTGATTTAGTAGAGAAAACACCTTCCATGGCATACTCAGGTGACATATAACCACTGCATAACATTATGATAAATAAAATGTGTTTCAAGGCAGAAATATTATAAAAATGCAGCTACAAGAAGATATGAATTTGCTGCATAAATGTACTCACTATGTCCCAACAATCCGATCTGTATGTACATTTGATTCTTGTGTAAAAATTTTGGCCATACCAAAATCTGAAATTTTAGGATTCATATTGCCATCAAGAAGAATGTTACTAGCTTTCAAGTCTCTATGAACTACTTTTAGTCTTGAATATTTATGAAGATAGAGTAATCCTTGAGCGATTCCCTCAATTATGTTGAAACGCCTTTCCCAATATAGTGAATTGCTCTGAGCAGAATCTTCTCAAGAAAAACATGAATGTGAGCAGTGCTCAAGAAGTTTAAAAATAATGAAAACCAAATTTTCCTTGGAAGAAAAGTACTTGTTTTCTCACCAAATGTAAAGAAGTCTAAGCTTTTATTAGGCATGAACTCAGATTAACATCCTCTCTTCTCCATGAATGCAGCAACCTAACAACTGAACAAGATTCATATGTTGGAGTTCAGATATTAGAATTAGTTCATTTTTAAACTCAATTACTCCTTGCGCTGAACCCCTTGAAAGTCTTTTTATGGCTATTTCTTCTCCCATTGGCAATAATCCCTAAAATGATTTTCAGCAAGTTATCAGTCTCATCAGGTACTAATCACCAGAAAAAGTTCAAGAACATTTTTGGGAACCACCTTATATACAGGTCCAAAGCCTCCTTTTCCTAGCATGTTTTCTGGTGAGAACCTGTTTGTTACTTCCATAATTGATTCATAGCTGAAAATTCTTAAGTTTGCCTTCTTTACGTCACTCTGAATATCTCTATCAGAAGATAATAAGTTACGAAGTTCTTTCTCCTCTCTGCTTCTTCCATTATCTGTTAGATATGATTCAATGTCATTGCTTTAAAGAAGAATGATGTTCATATAACATTACACTCAATTTCAAAAATTTTCTTTGTAAGTTTATGGATACATATACCTTGAACTTCATCTGTTTTTATCCCCCTTCTTAGGTAGCAAATTCCAAGGAAGACTATGATCAGAGCTGCTGCCAAGGCAGGACCAACTATTTTCCACTTCTTCATAACTGCATTACATAAGCAATCATCAAGTGTTGGCTGGAATGTTTCATGAGTAGCTTTACCTTATCTAAGCTATACTTTTTTAAAGATTTCTTCAGTGTCTTTTCATAAGTAGTTCTACTTTTCCCACTCCGCATGGTCAAGCATAGCTTGTTTTATATCAAAATGATATGAAAAGTTGCATGGAAGATGTTTTTAAGAACTTAGGCATCAAAGTACTTAAGACAAAATTTATAGATTGAAACACTGGAGGCTTCAACCAAAGCTTTCCTCAACTCTGGAATCTTGTTCTGTTCTAACATGGATTGCTTAGGTAGAAGTTTAGTTTCAAAAGTGAGAGTGAGATTAAGACAACAAGAACAGCCTTTTTTTTCAATAAAAAAGTTAGGAGATTCTAAACTATCTTGAGTTGTTTCCATACCTTCATGATCTAATTCATGTCGTTCTAAGATGTTAATTCTATAGTCCCTAGAGAAAACACTTGCTATCTCCAAAGGCCCATTGTAATGTATGCATCCAGTTCCATTTCTGAACAAAGTTTTGAACCCAGTGCAAGTACAGTTGGTCCAGCAAGCAGCCTTGCAATCACTTTCACCAATACTAACGTTTGTGTCTGTCTTAAATGATCTAGTATTCTTAGATAGATAATCAATATATCCAATCTTGATTTGGAATGTATCACCAGGTTTCCTACAGGTTGGTAGCTCCCATTTTTGACAACCACCAACATTGTTGTAACCATAGCAGGTATCAGCCCTAGCAATGGAATAATCACTTCCTCTTGTGTCCAATAACTGACCATTATGAAACAGCACCCACTGTGATTCTTCATATATACTTCTGTAACTAAAGGACTCTTCCTCCTCATTCGAGACAATGATGTATTCATAAAACTGCTGAACTTCTTCAGGTATGTTCACAAATCTCTTGTTTTTCAGCACTCCACTTACCCAATATATCTGCCCTTGCCTCTTTATGATCAATTGCTTTTGTCTTGAGTCCCACTCAAGTGTAAAGGAACCAGAACCTGGGGCGGCATCAGAAATGGATGCTGTCACAGACCAAGACTGACCAGTTCTGTGATTAAGTCCTAACTTCATGCCTGGCAGTAATATATCTGAAGGATGATCAAAACTCTGCCACAACACATGCTTTGAATCACCCTTGGGATGCAACTCTTGCAGGACCAAGTTTCCTGAATCTGATAAAGTGAGAATGGTATTGTTGGCAACTTCAGATTTGACAGGAGAATACAGAGTTATTGGCTTCCCGTTTTGACGGTTGATCGTGAGAGCACCGGAGTAATCCAAAGTAAGAATTCCAGAATTGTTTAAAATAGGGTCGTTTCTGTTTACAACCCAACTCTTATATTTATAACCATGGTTTTCAGAGTCTACGCGGCTTATAGCAAGGACGGTGAATGTATCAATTGGTTGAAAATTTAGATAGAACCTCTGGTTTAAGGAGTTTAGCCTGCTCGTGCTATCAAGCACATCGCCTGGCTTCAAACTATTTCTTCCTGCACCAAAGCTGGTTCTCCATGGACAAAACCATGAGAAAATAGGCAAGGTAACCATGATAGCCATTGAAGCAAATATACTGCAAAAGAATGCTTTGATTTTTCAGCAACCTGTGAAGAGTTTAAGGCTATTTGATCTTTGTAAGCAAGTTGGTGACTGTGTAGATGTGTTGGGGATATTCTAAGTAAGAGGATATGTTTGCATACACCGAGCTTGGTGTGTGTAGACCACCTTGTAAGCTATATGTATTCAGCCAGACTATTTACATATTCTTGGTTTTATTTATTTATAAGGCTTTACCTATTGATTTCTGTTAGGATGTCCAATATAATCATGAATGGCCTTGAGTTGAGGTGAGAAATTCAACATCAAATAGAACTGGGTTTAAATAAGTTAAAAGGATTCATAAACTGAGTTTTGAAGTTTTAAGGAAAAAAAAGAAAATAAGGAAAGTTCCTTGCTTCTCATAGAAGACAAGGTTTCCATGTGTTAAATGCTAGCTTTTACTATATATATATATATATATATGTATGTATATATATATTTTTTAAAAAAAAATCATTGGTTACGATTGTCATGACTTTATAAAGAGCATGACACTTTTGACCAGTTCGACATGCATGAATTTCAATTAGGTAAAGGGGGAAAATAGGAAAGATTCTTTTTTTTCCGTTTGATATAATGTGACTGTATTTGACGTGATCTTTATTTTAAGAATTACAAGCGGTAACATAACATAATTGAACTTGTGACCTAGCACTAACAAAAGTAAACGATGTATACAAACATATCCTCTTACTTAGATCACAAGCAATATAATACAGTTTGATGGAGAAAATAATCTCATTACGCTTGGTGTATGTATGTTTATCATTGTTCGATAAGCTATCATTCAATAAGACTAATTTAATTATCATTAGTATTAAATTATCATCCAATTATTTTCTGCATCCCTCTTAGGTAACGATGCCTCTTTATGATTGTCTATCTGTTACGGATGTGATAGCCAATGATCCATTGTAATACTAATGATAATTAAAAAAAAACTAAAATGATTGGCCAGTAAAATTTAAAATAAAATACTCTAAAAAATCCAATTATTGTCTATAGTAGCAGAAAATTCTTCACACTTTTTAAGAGACATCATCATGTTTTTTTCTCATCGTGGGTTGTGCTTTAGTCTTTTCAGGTCGTTTTGATTAGTTCTAAAATTGGTAGTGCGGAGATAATTTAATAGAATGGCATTAGTTGGACGGTGGAAAACATTTTCTTTCAACTTTAGGCTGCTTTTGGAAGGCATGAATAAGCCACCAATGGGTTACTTTACGAGGAACCATTATTTTTTCAACGCATGTGAATTATGATTGTTTTATCTTGCTCTTATGTTTGAAATAGACAAACCATTCACTGAATGAGTCTCAAACTCATGAGGATGAAATTTCTTAGTGAGCTTTTTTCCACTAGTCTTGTTGGGAAAGGACGTCAAGCAGTTTCACTTGCCAACAAGGCTGTAAAATCTGACGTGGTTGGAAGATCTTCTGCATTTTCTTCTACATATAGAAGCCCAATGTGGATGCATCACAATACTTGATCTGGATCACTTGAGTCTCTTCAAGTTGGATCAACCACGTCTAGACTCTAACCTCCTTTCTATAGTTCCCAAGCCTCAGAGATGTAGAAAATTTTACACTCCAAGCACAAAACAAAACAAAATGAAATAACAAAGTACTAAAAAATTGCAAAGGATTCTGATAGGGGTGTTCAGCTTATACCCATCCCGATTAGCCCGGTATTGTCCCGATCATATCAGGACGGGTCTCATCCTGGCCCAAAAACAATCAGGAAGGGACTTTGCGAGACGAGACAAGAAAAAAGTTCGGGACAAAACACGACACAGGATTACCATCGGGACGTCTCGTCCCGTCCTGAATATTATATATATATATATATAATTTTTTTATTTTAAAAATATGTATTAAATATATTAATTATATCAATTATAATTTCACTACTTGCAATTCTTATATAAAACTAAAGTTTTTTATATTGATAATTTTAATGATATAAAGTAAACATGGTAATATCTTTCTTTATAGTATTTTAATTATATTAATATAATTTATTCTTATGTCTATATATTTAATAACTTTTATTTATAGTGTATTTCTTATTTTATTTTTGAAAGAGTAATTAGCTTAGTATATCTCAACTAAAGTAGAAGAACAATCATTTGATGTTATACTTGGCTTGTCTATTGTTACTACTCTTATAGCCTAAAGATCACTTGTAATTGCTATCATAATGTGTAGTTGTGATTAATGTAGTTCAATAATTGACTTTAAATTGTTGTGATTTATGTACTTGTGTTATTTTAATTTTAAACTTAACAAATTATATAATTTAAAATTTTAACAAATGTTATTATTTAGATATTTCTCTATCATTGTCCGATTTATTAGCACGGTGGGACGTCCCAATCTCATCCTGGTCTTATCTTGATTCCTAACAGGACGGGATAACTTTCGGGACGGGACAGGATATGGGACTACAATTTGGTCCTAGACCTTTTTTTAGAAAAGGCACGGGACAGGGGTGTCCCAATCCCATCCCATCCCATAAACACCCCAAGATTCTGATAGATACTAGATAATATGGGATACTATGTAAAATATTGAGTAGTATGAGATGCTCAATAAGGTGTTTATGTAGGTTGGTTATCCCACTGTAATAACTAGCTTTTGGGATAAGGTTTTCTATCTCATTTAAGTACTCATCAATTGGTGTCAAAGTCAGGTTGTCGGTGGTTTTAGAGATGGCTACTCAAGGAGCAAGTTAATTGCCATGAAGTGCAATTGCTAGGATGTTGGCTTTCCATTAAGGGCCAATTGATGGAGACTTTATAGTATAGGATACTAAGTTCCGCATTAAGTAGTATGAAATGTTTAATAGGGTATTTAAATGGGTTAGTTCTCCTATCTCGACAGCTAGTTTTTGATGTAGGGTTTCCCATCCTACTTAGATAACCATTAAATTCTTTATGATGTTGAAGTCCGATGAAGAAATCTTTAAAAACTAAAAAGAAGGAAAGGGTAAGGGTACCTTTGTAAGCAATCTGACCCTTGAGATATACCCTGGCCTTAGTAAGTCCTTGAAACCCAACTCAAAACTTTTTTTTTTGTTTAAAAAAACAAGAAGAAAGAGAGGGTAGGTAAGGTCTAATATTCTAATGGCCCATCCTAGTGGCCCCACCTCTCCTTTCTCTTTACCTCTCTCACTAGAAATTCAAAGGAGAATCCCTTCTCTTGGAATGGAAAGCATAACAGATTTAATTTTTAAAATTGGTACTTCTTCTACCATTAATGATTTCAAGTAGCAAAACTCTAAAACTATAGACATTTGATTTGGTAATGGCATACTTAGGTAACATGTATCTACTGTATGGCATGATAAAAAATATGCCATAAGGCTGGTATTGCATAAAATGAGCTTAATTCATTAGCCTATAATTCTTGACACATGAACTATGTTATGTACTAACTTGTATATAGATTGAATATATCATTTGTAAAGATTTTATATGTATGGTAAGACTATTTGTAATATATTAAAGGATTAAGGGTTGTTTTTGTCCTTGAACTATATATAAAATGTCACAAAGGATCCTAAATTAAATTATGGGTTAATTCTGCCCGTTAACTTTAAATATTTCCTTCCTCATCACCCTATTGTTTTCTCACCATTATAAAATATATTTTTATTATAAAATATTTGAGTTGAGGGATAAAAATGATCCTTAACCTGATAAAAATATAAAAAATAGTAGAACCCACTGTTAACTAATGGGCATTAAGTGTTTTTAATATCAGAGTGATGACAAAAAAAATATTTAAAGTTGAGGGACATAATTGATTTATAGTTGAGTTTAGAATCATTTGTGACCTTTCATGTACAGTTCATGGATAAAAATGACCCTTAACCCTATACTAAAGGCTTTTATGTCATGCATATTAATAAATATAAATTGAACTAACTATTTAGTCAATAAGTTAAATATCTTTAACATAGGATTATCATGAACAATTAACTATTTTTTAGTCATATTGACATGTGTTGTCTAATCCAGTAACTTGCTCTAGGTTAAATCTTTGGACAAAAAGGTCATTGATGGATTAACTAAACCATACATAACACAATAAGAAATATAATTGGATGCAATACAATTAACTTGTACGGGGGAAATAGATCGAATTGCATAATGCACATATTTGTTCTAGCCTAATAGGAAGAAATCCAATTTCTCTACTATCTCATTGATTTTAAGCCCTTTTTTTCGTAAACATGGAGAATTAAATCAAAACATAAACCAGTAGAAGATAGCCAAGCCTCTCTAGTTACAAAATCACAATTTTACTCACATACTTGGTGAATATGTAGTAAGTAGAGAGTTTTAAAAAGCACATGAACAAGCTAGGCAGTGGCACGTGGCACAGAGAGCAACATGCCACGGCATAGAGTATACCAGCCGTGGCACATTACTCTGTATCACAACACATGTTTGTTTTTTTTCAATCATTTTTGACTTCTTTCACTCCTCTAAGGTATCCCATGTTTTCAAAACTTATTCTTACACTGATATAAAAGATTTTGATCGATTTTAACTCATTTTTAATTAAAAAACTTGGGATTCCTTCTTTTGGATTAATCCTTAGTAATCACCCTTTGAGCTAATCCTCTAATTGCCATGAGTTTTATTTATTAATTGTGTTTACTGAAGTAAGAATGTTACACAATAGGGTGTGGTGTTGGAGAATTATACCTCTTTTGTGCCTTTTAAGGTATGGTATTGGGGATAATCTCCTTAGTGCCTATTGATGTGTGTGTTGGAGATATAGGACTCCTTAGTATCTATGTGATATGATTCTGGAGTTAACAATACTGCATTGTGTGTATTAGGGGAAACCATTATCCTGAAGTAAGATAGATCACTTTTGATCAAATGATTTTACCACTAAAGGTGAGCTTAGGGTCAATAAGTGTTACATTATCCTAAGGAGAGCTATGGTTTCGTGTTGGGGTGATTTAGCAGTTTGATTCGTAGTGATCATGTTATGTGATGTATATGTTGCTATTTGCTATAAAAGTGGAGAAAAGTGGCGAAACAAATATAAAAGTGAGGAAATGTTTGATATGAGTGATATTTGAAATGAAACATGTGATATGTT